GCAACACAGGGACCCGCGCCCGAAGAAGGACAGTGCTGGGGGGAATGGCTGGACCGCCAGCAAAGGTCGAGGAGGTTCAGAAGGCGACTGCTCCAGCCGCTCCCAAACGCATGGGGAGGCCACCACGTCCCGCCCCGAGTTCGGCGGGCAGCGCGCAGGCGCGGGCGGGGCGGGGCGTCGGGCTGGCCGGGCACCCGCAGGGCTGCCCCATTGCGCACGCGCGAGCCGGCCGGCGCGCCCCCTGCAGGAGCCCGAGCCTCCCGGTCAGCGCCTGCCGCAGGTTGCAGGCGCCCCCTCCCCGCCGGGCGTCCCAGCCGCTGTCAGCACCGGCCGTTGCTGTCGCCGCCGCCGCAAGGCCGAGCGCAGCCGGGCCCGAGGCAGGGGACCCCGCAAGAGGGCAGCGCGCCGGCCGCCGCCGCCCTGGCGCCGAGGGTCGGTGAGTGCCGCCGGGACCCGCCGCGCGCGCTCACTTGCTCCCGGGGCTCGCGGCTCCGGGCCGCCCTCCGCCCGGCCGGCCTGCCCCCTCGGCCGCACCCTGCTTGGCCGGCCCGCCCCGGACCCCCCACCTCCGCGGCCGCGCGCGGCCCCGCCCGGCAGGTGCACCTCGCGGGGCCGCAGCGCCAGGCCGCCCTGACTCAGGCTTCCCCTTCTGCCGAGCTTCTGGGCGTGTCCCCCTCCCCGCGGGCGGCTTCCTCGGCGAACCCCGGAGCTGGATGCGCCGCGGCACCCTTTGTACAGAGCCGGGAGGGTGGACCCTTTGGCGTTCGTCCGGCAGGCAGGCGCTCGAGGCAGCCGCCCACCACAGCCTTGCAGCCCCCAGGCCGGGAGCGCGGAGCAGGGCCGCCGGGATGCTGCTGGCTCATCCTTCGTGCTGAGATTCCCTGGGTGGGTGGGAGTGCTTCCCCACCCCGGAGTTCGGCCTGCGCCCAGCCCTTCATTCCCGGGAGCCAGAATGGGAGGGCGGGCAGTGGTCCCGTGCTCATGGTGGGAGCTGTACGGCGGACAGAAAGGCGTGCATGCCTGGTCTAGGTGGAGAGGCCTGCAACAGCCCTCAGTAACCTCTGGGGTCCGTGGTCAGTGGGTCCATGGTATGAATTTGCGTTTACACCGGTATTGGCATTCACACACTACACTGTAGCTTCATGAGGGCAGGTCCTGTCTCCTGCACTAGGGTTTAGGACGGACGTGTACTTGGTGCACATTTGGTGTGCAATCCAGAGCCCCCTCCTCACTTCCTTGGATATGGCCTAATGAAAGCCCATTGCCTTATCCGGTATTTCTGTTTGTTGACGCCTTTGCCTCCTGCACTGTGAGGCCACTTACTGCCGGCCCTGGGCCTGGTCAGGGCTTGGGTTCCCAGCACAGAGCCAGAGCCTGGCACAGAACAGGGGATGGAGACACGCTTGTTGAATGGGTGGTTGACACCCCATGACAGAGCGGGGACCTGGGCAGGGTGCAAGTGAGTCAGGCTGGCTTTTTTTCTCCTGAGCAACTGTGTCATTTGATTCTGAACAGTTGGGTGCTGCCTTCTGTAAACTTGAAAAGATCAAGGCTCTTTTCCTCTAGAAAGTCTGCATCAAGCGAACATAAGAAAAAGGGAAAATAGGTAAAAATTGGATGCCCTGGGAATCCCCTCGCTCTTCTTTTTAAGTCTTTGCAGTTTTGTTTTTTTTTTTAATTGCCCACTTGGTCATCATATCTGACAAACAGGATGACATCGTTCCCTCTCTGGTGATCTCCCATCATGCTGACGACACAGCCGTTTAGAACAGGAGAGATCAGCTCAGGTGGCTTTTTCAAAGACACTAGCCTTACACGGTGTGTGTGCCAGTCTCGTGGGAACCTGTTTTGACTTAGTCTCAATGGGGAAAGCCCGGGAAGACTCCCCACTTGACTGTCTCTTCTCCAGCCCTGCCTCCTGAGATGACAGTAGATTCATCTGCTCTTGAGTTGGTGAAGGGGAAAGAAAACATTCTAGAACTCGGGGAGAAGGATGGGCAAGGCTCTGTGCATGATGGAAAGATTAATTGGTTGTGGTCCCTGCTCTTGGGGACCTTAGGATGGAGCTAAAGAGAATGATTTATTCACAAGTAACTGTGACATCAGACAGAATGAGACAAGTACCATTTGACACATTGGAAAAGCTGTTGCGGGTGTCCAGAGGTGGAGGGGTGGCTTTCAGCAAGAGCAGAAGGTCTGAACCCTGGCTGCATGGTAGAATCACCCCAGGATGGGTCCCCTGCCCAGGCCAGAGCCCAGAATCTTTAGGGGTGGACCTCTGATATCAGTTTCTGAGTTAAAGCACCCCCAGAAGATTCCATTATGCAGCCAGGATGAAGAATACCTGGGCCAGGGTTGTCCATGGCTGCTTCACAGTGGGGCTGGGATTGGACAGGGAGATGATATTCCAAGAAGACAAAACCGCAGTAGGCCCAGACCCTCTTGGGAAAGTGTAGAGCGTGTCAGTCCCCATCCCCCTGAATGGCTCAGAGATTTGGAGTCACCAGGCAGACAGGTACCTTTGCAGGAGCTGAGTAATGAGCTTGCTGTGGAAGACCCTGGGGATCCTCAATCGCCTCATTACCTCATTCCCTACACCCAGAGAGGCAGAATGGCTAGCAGGACATGAGTGGGACCAAGGCTCCAGCAGGGGTAAGCAAAGCAGGAGGCAGACCGATTTTGTGGAACTCTCTCCTCATAGCTTCCCTTGGGCCACGCCCCCTGTCTTAAAAATACACCCCACCAAGCCCTGCCAGGAGCTTTTTTGTGAACTCAGAGCCATAGGATCCCAAGGAGACGGCTGCCCCAACTCTGGACTGGGTGGTTGGTGGTGTTGAGTGCGAGGCCAGCAAACTAGGTCTCTGCCTGGGCCTCCGATGCAAGTGACCACAGCCTTGAACCCAGCCTCCTGGGGCTCCCGGACAATGACCGAGCCTCGTGGGTTTGTTCCTGCCTCATCCACGTAAGGGCCACTTGTGTAAATACGTAATCCATAAGCTTTTTCTTGCGTGCTGCTACATGTAAAAGGATTTAAGTTTGCACCCCCGTGTATTTCATTTATTTATACTACCGTCCTGAATATCATGGACACAGAAATACACACAAATATAGACCTTTTAAAGGGATGAGAGGCAAAGTGAACACGGTCACATTTGTGCAGCGTATTAGTGCTACTAGATCAATCATAAAAACGTGGATGTTTTAATTTTTTTAAGTAGTCGGCACGCCCTTCATGGGGCTCAAACTCACGACCCCAAGATCATGAGTCACACGGTCCACCGACGGCACCAGCCAGGCGCCCCATCCCATATGCTGTTTTTCAAAGAAAGCCATGTGAGCAAGTCTGCATCCCGTTTATAAAGTCTTGGTGAACCCTAAGTCCTCATCTGAAGGTTTGGTTCTGGGTTCTGTTTATTTTGGTTCCTGGTTCTGGTGGTGTCGCCGGTAAACGCCATGAACCTCTTGAAGCCATGTAGACTGTGCTGGGAGCCCAGGACTTGCCTTTCTCTCCCGCTCACCAATCCCACGAGGGCTCTTGCCGCGGTGGGGTGGGGGGGCGTGGGGGGTGGGTAAGCATTCAGGGGCTGCTGGGGCAGGTGGAGCGTCTAGCTCCGGATACTATTAGCGTGTGCGTGTGCATGTAGATGGCGCTGCCCCTGGGCTCCACACATCCCTTTTCATAAATGCTCCATTCCTAGCCTGGGTTGTTTTGAAAAACTGCAACTCTCACTCATTGTCACCTTTTCCTTGAAGGGACAGATTTGAGTGCGTTGGCTTAAGAGAAATGAGCTAGCTGACACAAGGCGGTCCGTTGTCATGGAGAAAAAAGAAAAAGGCCTCCAGATTTGGAACTTTTCTTGAGAGAAAATATGTATTTCCTCCTTAAGTTCTAAGTCCCGAGATGACCGGTAACCCTTCCTGTCACCAAGGGTATTCACAGTCACTTCCCAAATCCTTACAAAGTATCATAATGCTTCGGCCATGATTTTGTGTGTTTTAATTGCACCTGAACGTCATACCCTGCATCACATGAAGTCCAGCACATGTGTGAGGCTTAAACTAAACCAGCGGGCAAGGGCCGCCGTCCCCATCAGGGTACGTGGCTGCCAGCACACAGACCAGCAGGAGTGCCAGGGTCCTTCCATACTGAATTATCAGTAAAGCCAATTTCCCCCTCACTTTCATTTTATTTTTTTTTAAGATTTTATTTATTTATTTGACAGAGAGACAGCGAGAGAAGGAACACAAGCAGGGGGAGTGGGAGAGGGAGAAGCAGGCTTCCCACCGAGCAGGGAGCCTGATGCGGGGCTCGATCCCAGGACCCTGGGATCATGACCTGAGCTGAAGGCAGACGTTTAACCGACTGAGCCACCCAGGTGCCCCAATTTCCTCCTCATTTTTAAAGAAAAATACTTGTGAGTGCAGTTTCTCACCATTCCTTTTGTCCAGCAGATGGTGTCTCACACCCTGCCTGGAGGCTGGTGGTAGGCTTGGCTGGCGGGGACCACCCTCTAAATGCACCTGCTGCTTTCCTCCTATGCTTTACAGTGTTGACTGCTATTTAGACTTCGCATCTGCAGAATCCACTAAAATAGACCTTTTCACATGTTTACTGTGCACCCCCCTCAAAAAAAACACACATACCCCAAAAGATGAGATCATGTGCTGGGTAAACAATCAGACAAAACACCTGGAGATCAGCATTACTGCCCATGTGGATACCCCCTGCCCGGCACACTGTCTTGGCACAGCATCCGAGGCCTTGGTCGGCTTCCCTTTCTGGCTCATTCCCGCTGCTCCCCGCCCAGGTTCTCGGAACCACAGGCTGCTCCCCACACACGCTCTTCCCCTCCACCCCACCCCCCAGCTACCAGGATACTCGACACCAGTCTCCGGTGTCCCCCACTCCCGGGAGCCTTCCCAGAGCCTCCCCCGTGTCAGGCGCGCACACACACACACACACACACACACACACACACACACACACACACACACACTTGATTTCAGTCCCCTCCAGAATCTCATGATGCCTCCTTTGGCTCCAGCTCCAGCAGTTACAGTACACAGACGCGTTCGTGGCCTGTGAGCATCTTGGGGTGGGAATGTTATGATTTCCACTTCCACACCCTCAGCACCCCTTGCACAGCAAACACTGGGCAGATGTTTGTGGGAGGAATCAATGCTTTTTTGTCTTGTGTGTCATAGAAGACCGCAGATTCTACCCACAAGCATTAAGTACCTATTTGGAGTGGACACACATAGACCTTTACTACCACTCACTGTAGTGGACTCCCCGTGTCGATAAGGAAATGCTTTCCTAGCTGAGCTGGGTCCTCACCAGCCTCGGTCCTGGCCAGTGCCACCAGTAAGGCCCTGTCTCTATTCCACACCCGTGGAAAGAGGATAAAGCTGTGCTTGTCTGCCCTCTGCGTGACGTGTGGAGGCCCAGTTTCGTGGAGACCTCTTCTTCTCACCATGCCGTCCTCCAGGCCTGAGCAGACTCAGGCTTCCCTGGAAGGAGATGCACTGAGCTCGGGATGTGATGGGAACTCGTGACATAACAGGGTGAGTGCCCTGCCCCGGGGCCCTGTCCACTTCCGCTTGCTGGCCTTCAGTCTTCCTCAGGAGTGACCTCTCTAGAAGCATTAACACTGCTGTGTTCCATGTATGCTGAAATAACCTATTTTGCACGGGCACATGGACAGTGGATGACAGATTCAAGCCTGTAATGAAGAAATCCACAGATGAGGAAGCTGAGGTGTCTGGGCTCTGAACATGCACCCGAGTGGCCATGAGGGCTTATAACTGGCACAACCCATAACTCTCGTACTCATGAAAGTTACTGGAAAAGCCCTCGGGAGAGGAATCCTGTGTGTCATCACAAGAGCTCCCCAAAACCAGCAGGCCACAGGCCACAGGATGCACTCACTCTGGACCAGTTCAGTCGCTCACCTAAAAAGCAAACACCGAAACACTCAACACTTTGTGTAACGTTTAATATTTTAACAGTGAGCAAACAAGCCTTTTAGTAGGGGGGGGAAAAAAAAAAGCTCTCCTTTCCCTTCCTGGCTCTGTCCCTAGAGGAGCGAAGTGAGCCCTGGAGGGGAAGTTCTCAGCCACTCTTGTGGGGCGGAGGCGGCTTTGCAAGTGGCCCCCACCTGAATGTTTACCTTAGAGTAGAAGGCGTGGGGCTGGCTCTGCATAACCTCTTCTGGGGACTCTGTGCCTCAGTGTCGAGTGTTTTGAGGAACATTTAACTTCCTTTCCTCATGTACATTTGCTTTCATAACCAGAAAGTTGTCCAGATTTTGTAATTCTGGGAATCTCCTTTAAATTCCTTTCTGCTCAAACAGAACAGATACAAGTAAGGCGTTCGGTAGGACTTGGGATGCGGCCTGGCATGCACAAGGCAGCCGGCCGGGTGCTGGAGGGAGGCCAATAAATACCCACGAAGGTAGCAGGGCTCAGGGGATAGTTTCTCTGTTTGTTTTCCAAGGGTGCATTGTGGGAGCAATGCATACAATTTTATAAAGATTTTACTACTTTTCATAGACCTGGCTCACAGCTTTCTTGCTGTGTGAACAGGACTGGGTCCTTCCTCCTCCTTTCTTCGTCGGTAAGAGGTGGTGATCGCAGAAGCAAGGCCTAGGTGAGCGTGTCTAATGTGAAAGCTCCTTCTATTTCCACGCATCAGGAGGGAACAAAGACTCACCCTTGCAGTATCTGTTTCCCTGCATCCATATTTCTTTGTTATTGGATCTGCTCTGTTTTAAGTAACACGCTTGCGATCTGTTTTGGTCTCTTTCTAACTTGGTGAGAGGTGCTTTTTGGTTATTTTCCAAATTATGCTCTAGCGCCCTCCTTTTGCCCAGAGGTCCTGGTAGAGTCATGCCAGCAAGTCCTGGGCCCCTCCTGATGTCCCGTGAGGCGTCCGTCACCACGCTGCACTCAAGAGGCCCGCAGGCCCCACCCCAGAGCCCTGGTCACAGAGCTGCCTCCTCCCATCCAGTCCTGCTGTAACCCCAGAGGGAGACCACGGCCAGGAGCCTCTCCCAGGACCCAGGTCAGTGCACGGGTGCTGCTCTCAGCCTCGTAGGGACTGTGGGAACGTGGTCAGTCTGTCTTTCTGTCCCCCCATCTCCTCGAGCCGGAGAGACAGGAATAAGCACGGGGATGTGTCCTTTCCTGGCCAGACTTCTCCAGAAGTCTGACCAGAAGACTTCTTTGAACTGTGACCTTTTTATATTCCCCTCTGGGGAGAGGAAGAAGGTTCACCCTGGTCAGGCCAGGTCTCATCGTGGGGATGGCAGGCCCTGCTAGAGGCACTGCCATCCCCCATCTGACCTAAAGCACTTCTAGAAACCTTTGATAAACCACAGGGCCTCGTGGGCCTCATTATTTTTTATTCTTTTATTATTTATATTCTTTTATTAACTGTCCACAGCTGATTTTATGACACTTTTTCCACCTTGTTAATTTTGAAAGAATTTGGATCATTTGTTGACATTTAATAGCACTTCATGCTACTTTAGCTTTAATCTCTTCACATTTTAACCACATGGTTAATTAAAAGCATATTTTAGGTTGATTTGTAAATAACTTCTTGTAGTTGTGTTCTCTACAAGTATTCACTGAGGACCCTTAAATGCGTGAATTTTGAGTAACTATCCTCCGACAGATATGGACAGCCACATCATTTCCAAAAAAAGCAAGAGTTTAATTTTAAGAAGAGTTTCAGTGGAAATGACTTTCAACTGATTGGGGCCAAATGTAAAGTTGGCCTTTCTGAGAAAACACCAAGGAGCTCTCAAGGCGGGTCCTCTGGGCATTCACTAAGGGACGTTTGTCTGAGGGCTTGTGCTCTCTCAACCCGCCTGGCAGGTTGTGTGGGGCTGCATCCACCCGCCCGCGCAGGGAGTCAGTTCACTGAGCTCAGAACTTCCCGCGTACGTCACACAGGCTTCTCCCCACTTTCAGGACCGTGAGCACCAGGGGCCTATCTCCACTCCCCCTGCGCCCTCACCGCCGTGTGGACAGGAACCAGGTGCTCTGGGGGGTGGGGAGGCCTCCACCTCTGCCGCCCGCGTGCCCACCCTGGGTGGGCGCAGCCCCATCCACCCCCAGGCCTTCACGCCCGCAGCTTCCGGAACACAGTGGTGCCGTGTCCTGGGCGTCGTGGGGTCTTCCTGAGCTCCTTCAGACCACCTCCTTCTGCAGCAGGTGAGTGTCTCATGTGCGCTGGGCTCCGTGTCTCTGCCACTCACACTAGAAGTCTGGGGAAATGCATTTCCCCAGGTGGAGGGAGGCCTTTAGAAATCCCCGCTCTCGTTTCTGCTGGGTCTCCCGTAGGACAGCCTCTCTACAGCCCTGCACGGCCATATGTGCCAGGTTACTCCTACGTGACATGGGGCATATTTTCTCTGGAGGAGAATGACCACTGTCACGTGGAGGCCACATACCAATGCTCATGGTTAAAGCAGGAAAAACTGGTCCTGAGGGCCATCGTTCCACCCACGGGTCTGCCTACCACGTCCTGTCCCCCAGTCAGCCAGGCTGGCAAGGGCCCCCTCCTGGGCCTTTCCTCCCCGCCCCACAGCTCTGGGCCAGCCAAGTGTGCTTTCACTGGTTCTGTGACCGTGGCCGTGGCCAGGGTGGCCAGTTGGCAGGAGAGGGGTGCAGGGGGGATGCGCAGAGAGGTAGCACATTCATCTGAACCACAGGGGACACCTGCATGGCGTCTACTGCAGGATGAGAGCCCCTCCAGCAGCACGTGGCCATAGAGCCCATCACTGAAGGTGTGTCTCTGCAGGAGACCGGCCACTGCCTAGCAGCGTGCTTTCTCCGTGAGCAGACGGAGCAGAGCTGGTGTCTTTCTCTGGTGGCAGACAGGACGTGGGGACGCAGGAGGAGGGCTTGTGTCTGAGGGGGGTCTCCCGCCCCGGGGCCCCCAGGTGCACCACGGCTGCTGCATACCCGGCCTTCCGTCGGCCTGAAGATGGCCGTGCTCAGGCAGCTGGTGCTCCTGCTCTGGAAGAACTACACTGTGCAGGTAGGTGCGTGCCCCCATGCACCGGGCCCCAGGAGGGGAGTCCCAAGGGAGGGCCCCGTGACCCCTGCTGGCCTCGCGCTCCCCCAGCCGGTGCCTTCCCTTTCTCTTGTAGAAGCGCAAAGTCCTGGTGACCGTCCTGGAGCTCTTCCTGCCCTTGCTGTTCTCTGGGATCCTGATCTGGCTCCGCTTGAAGATCCAGTCAGAAAACGTGCCCAATGCCACCATCTACCCTGGCCAGTCCATCCGAGAGCTGCCCCTGTTCTTCAGCTTCCCACCTCCGGGCGATGCCTGGGAGCTCGCCTACATCCCGTCCCAGAGCAACGCCGTGAAGACCATCACAGAGATGGCGCGGAGGACGCTGGTCATCAACATGAGAGGTGAGGTGTCCTCTGGGTCCCCTCCCGTCCAGCTATGGGGGATGAGTCCAGGTGAGCCACCCCGGCCAGCGGCCAGACTCAGCATCTGCCCTTGTTGACGGGTCACTTGTTAGAAAATGGGGACCACATGGGTGACCCCTGGAGCAGCACGGGCTCTGGAATCGCTCCCGACGGTTCATGGTGGGGACAGCTCTGGAATTCCATGGGCAAGGTGTGCCGTGAGTGCGCCCTGCCAGCACCTTTCCTGGGATGTGGTTTTGGGGGGATGGTTCTCAAAAAAGGCATCGGGAAGCCCGTTGGGGACACGCCCAGTACACGCACCTGTTCCCTTGCCTCACTCTTTGCTTCCAGGATAAAAAGTGTTACCGCTTTTCCTGCCTCCTCTTTGGCGTACACCACCCATGGCCTGGTGGACGCCACGTGGCAAATGCTCCGGGGGAGGTTCTTGGCCCTCACGGAGCGATGACAGGAAGCCCTTTACGTGGTGTGGGGTCTGGTGACAGAGAAACCATGTGACACACGGCATTAGTGTCCACTCCCATCACGACACCCCACATGGCCTGAGACAGAGGCCACCCCGTGCAGGGAGGCCGCCTCCAGCTCTCCCCAGAAACCCCGCCGCCCTGATGGCAGGGTGCTGCTGGTCCCCATGGCAGCCAGTCTCTCTGCCCCCCCCCACGAAAGCCTCCTGGACTCTGAGGACAGGGGTACAAAGCCTAGAGGAACCTGGACATTTGCAGTCTTTTCCTGAAAATGACCTGAAGCAGCCTGATTTCCCAGTAGAACAGGCGCTCGGGCAACTCGTGGCTTTCCCACAGCTCGCGGCTTTCCCTCGGAGAAGGACTTTGAGGACTACATCAGGTACGACAACCGCTCCTCAAATGTGCTGGCCGCCCTGGTGTTCGAGCACACCTTCAACCACAGCGGGGAGCCCCTGCCGCTGGCGGTGAGGACCCCACCCCACAGCCCCTCCCCCTCCTCAACCAGCCCAGCCTGTGAAGGCCCTCTGCCCACCCCCTGGGCCATGCCTGGCTTCACCGCAGGGCCGGCGACCCCGGCTGGGTCCCCGCCGAGGGTGCCCTGGTCCCACTCTAGCCCGTCGGGCCAGCGCCACTGGGAAAGCCTGAAGAAGGCAGCCAGCGGCCCGCTGCAGACCCCTTAGTCCTCCCACATGTCCCCTGTGCGCTGTCAAGTGGGCAGTGGGGAAAGGAGCGGACACGTGGGACTTCCGGACACCAGCACTAGAATTTCAGTTATTTAAAACACAAGGAAGTCTTCCTCTCTGGTGGCATCAAGACTGGGAAACGATCCAGTTCCTCTAGCATTATTTTGGGGGCCCTCCACTGATGATCAGGGCACCTTGGGTGCAGAGTTCCCAGAGGAGGCTGGCAAGACGGGGCTGGCAAGAACACCCTGGGGGCGCACCTCAGGGCTCCCTTCCCCACCCAGGGCAGGGCTACTCACCATGACGCGTCAGGACCCCGTGGGTGTTGGGGGGGTTGCGGGGGTGCAGAGTTCACAGTAACGAACCCCTAAACTCTCTCATTGGACACAATGTTTGCTTCTCTGTCTGGATCCCTCAGAGTGGGTGCTTTTTTCTTTGTTCCGTAGGTGAAATACCACTTACGGTTCAGCTACACACGAAGAAACTACATGTGGACCCAAACAGGCTCCTTTTTCCTGAAAGAGACGGAGGGATGGCACACCACTTCGCTCTTCCCACTTTTCCCAAACCCAGGACCAAGGGAGCCCGCGTCCCCCGACGGCGGAGAACCTGGTGAGAAGCCGCAGCCGCCATCCCTCCCAGGGCTGCTGACGGGACGGTCACAGGGGCCCCACCTCATGTCCCTCAGCAGAAATACTCCTTTAGGACTGTTCAGTCTTCTGCCGCATAGAGGGAAGGAAGCGTCCAGGAAAGCTGGCTCTGATGGGTTAAGACACTCCCACATCCTTGGAGGCGCTGTCCCCACTTCTCCGAGGACGCGTGCTCCTGAAGGAAACTTCTGTGTCTCAGTCTTAAAGGGGCTGCTATTGGCATCACGTCTGTGGGCTTGGCCTCACGCTTCCTTTCCCTCCGTGGCCTTTGCTGTGCACGGTTGTGTGGGCTTCGGGAGCTCTGTGGTCCTGGAGCAATTGTCTGGGGTCTGACTGTACGAGTGGGGTGCTTGCTGAAGCCGGCTCTTGGCTGGTTGTGCCCCCTCAGTGTGTGTGTTGGTCTGTCCCGTGTGGCCTGGGCAGGCACGCAGCATGTGCGTCTCCCCCGAAGCACGGCTGCCCTCCTGGAACGGAGCTGGGGGTGAGCAAGGAGTAGTAGCCCACTCCATGGGTCCCGGGCAGTGGCAGGGTGTTGCGGAGAACAGAGGGTTCCACCATCTGCAGGAGACAGAGCGTGTCCAGGTTTTGGTGGAAAGAACCAGTAATGTACCAACACGAAGCGCCAGGCGGCCAGGCAGGCGGGCAGAAGGAAGGGAGGCAGCAGCCCGTGTTTAGAGACCATGGCTGGTGCCTGAGGCCAGCAACCGGAGAGACTGTCCTCCTGTTTTTGGGTACAGTTTCCTAAGTTTGGAAGCATATTTCACTAGGTATAAATTCAAAATTTGCCTGAGAAGGAAAAGCAAGCAGGAGCCTAGGGAAAGCATTCCAGCCAATGACAAGGGTCCACGTCTTTTTATGTTGAGGACTCAATAGTCCACGCCAGGTGCAAGCACACGAAGGCCTCCAAGCCACGGCAGGGACGCAGGCCAGGCACACAGCACAAGCTCGGCATGCTCCCCCAGCCCCGTGTCCACACCTCAGACCCACGGGGTCCCCAAAGGGAGTTCAGCCCCTGGAAGAATCAGAAGGAAGGAGAAGATCCACATGCTGAAGGTGTTCACCGTGGCTTTGTTTCTGGTCACAGACCTTTCGGCAGGGGGAACGGTTGACGACAGGTTGACCCCTCAGGGCCGGGAGCAGCCACACCGCAGTGGCTAACACGCAGGCCAGGCTCTGCACTGGAATCCCTCGCTCTGGGTCTGTCACTCCTCCTCCCGCCTCGCCAGCAGACTTTTATGACAGAGCATGTGGCGGGCGGTCAGAGAGGGCCAGCAGAGAGAGCAGAAAGCACTCGAAGGTCTGAGCAGTGGCCTTTGGACTGTGATGCCTGCCTGTCTTGCAGGTGCTAGCTCGGGTGGATGGAAGTAAGGCTGCTACTCAGCGGGCCTCAAGATAGCAGGATTACTGTTGATTATCCTGGGGGGCCCGACGTAGTCAGCGGGGTCCTCCAAAGTAGACAAGGGGGTGCGGAAGAGAGGGTCAGACCGGTGCCACCTGGCTGGCCTTGGGGCTGCGGGAAGGGGTCGTGTGTCGGAGATGAGGATGGGGCCCCCTAGGGGCATTAGGTGGCATCGCTCCTTGGCCCTGTCCACCAGGGAGACCCCAGTACGGCTCAGGGCATGTGGCTGAGTGAACGAGCAGCACCCTTGACGTGGCTTTTCCCACTGCTCCGCGCCCAGGGTACATCCGGGAAGGCTTCCTGGCTGTGCAGCACGCAGTGGACAGGGCCATCATGCAGTACCACGCCAACGCCTCCACACGTCAGCTGTTTGAGAAGCTCACCGTGATCGCGAAGAGGTTCCCTTACCCCCCTTTTATTTCGGACCCCTTCCTGGTCGCCATCCAGTACCAGCTCCCCCTGCTGCTCATGCTGAGCTTCACCTACACCTCGCTCACCATCATCCGGGCCGTCGTGCAGGAGAAGGAGAGGAAGCTGAAGGTAGCCATGCTCTGTGTGGCTTCCGACTGTCTCAGCGGGTTGGGTGCAGGCGCCATGCTGCCGGGGGGGGGGGGGGCGGGGGGGGGGGGGGGGGCCGCGGGCGGGGCGCTGAGCCACACGAGCAGCCAGATGTGGGGTGGAACGCCCACCGTGGCGCCGGGGATCCCAGGGCTTCTGTGAAATCAAGCCCGGTGCATCCAGGTCTTAAAACCCTGATAAAGCACCACATGTTGTGTGCAGTGCACTGAGCCCTGACATGTTGAAAAGACCATGGTTTGGATGTGCTAGGTCAAGCAGAACACAGCGGTAAACTAATTTCACAGGTTCCTGTTAACTTTTTTGCTGTGGCCACTAGAAAACTCTAAATTATATATCTACTCACATCCAATTCCTGCTGAACAGAGCCACCCCAGAGAGGCCAAACGTTTCGGTTCGTGGCCGTGCAGAAGGCCCGTTCACTCTGCATGGGTCAGGCACAGCTGTAGGTCTGCACCACCAGGTGCAGTGGGACGGGGGTAAGGAGTATGGAAGGTGTCCTTGCCTTAATCAGGTACAGCTGCGCGATTGCATCACCCATAAACTCATGCCAGTGACGCTGTTGAAATTACCCAGACTTTATTTGAAGTTCTTCCTTCGGCAGCAGCTGTGACACTTAGCATATTCTCAAAGGTGCCACATCTGTGATCAGGAGGGCTTGTAAGCAGGAGGCCGGGAGAGGGGCCGGGGTGCTGTCTGCGTGGGTGCGGGACGGGACAGCGGTGCAATGGTGTGATGTGGATGCTGGGGGCCGGGAGAGGGGACGGGGTGCTGTCTGCGTGGGTGCGGGATGGGACGGCAGTGCAAGGGTGTGACGTGGACACTGGGGGGCCGGGAGAGGGGACGGGGTGCTGTCTGCGTGGGTGCAGGACGGGACGGCGGTGCAATGGTGTGACATGGACGCTGGGGGCCGGGAGAGGGGATGGGGTGCTGTCTGCATGGGCACGAGATAGCAGTACAATGGTGTGACGTGGACGCTGGGGGCCAGGAGAGGGGATGGGGTGCTGTCTGCGTGGGCACCGGACAGGACGGCCGTGCAGTGGTGTGACGTGGAAGGGGTTAACAGCAGATGTGAAATGGCTCAGAAGCAAATGTTTATGCCCACAGATTCATGGATAAAACCAACATGGCAGAATGTTGAATGATTGTTGAATCTAAGTGGAGGGCGGGGGCATGCTGGGTGAGGGGCAAGGTGAGCTGATCCCGCCAGAAGCAGGGAGGGCATCCCAGGGGGGCAGCACCTAAGACCAGGGAGATGGAGGAGGAGGGCAGGGGAGGACGGCACAGGTGAACCACGTCTTTTGCCTGGCGCATGCTGAGCGTGTGTCCCCGGCGTCCCGCTGCTGTCCCCTCTTGGCCTGTGGGCGACACCGTGCATCCGCACAGCTGTACAGGCTCTGGGCCAAGGCAGCAGGTGTGTCAGAGCGCATGTGTGGGGCTTTCTTCCCAGGAGTACATGCGCATGATGGGGCTCAGCAGCTGGCTGCACTGGAGCGCCTGGTTCCTCCTCTTCTTCTTCTTCCTCCTCGTGGCAGTCTCCTGCGTGACCCTGCTGTTCTGTGTCAAGGTGAGTGTGGCCTTGTGGAGAGCGTGCAGGCAGAAGGGACCGGAGAGCCAGAGGCACCGCAGCACCCCGGGGCAACCCCAGCCACGGCCCAGGGCTTCGGGGCGAGTTGGCCCCTCCCCAACCCTCACCAGCTTCGCTTGAGGGGGGAACCTTTAAGGTCTTCCTGGTTTTGTCCCCACCTCCCCCGCCGTGGCCTGCCCCACCCGTGTGACCACCGGGATGCTCGCGCAGGTGAAGAAGGATGTGGCTGTGCTCACTCACAGCGACCCCTCACTGGTGCTGGTCTTCCTGCTGTGCTTTGCCACCGCATCCGTCTCTTTCAGCTTCATGGTCAGCACCTTCTTCAGCAAAGGTGAGCCGGCCCGCCCCCAGGACCATGGGTGCCCCAGCCACCCCGGCTCAGGAAACCTGGCAGGTCCCTTCTGGGTGTCCAAGTAGCCCACAGGCTGGAGGGGGCTGTGTTCTGCACCGGCCTTTGGACTCGGTCCTCGGGGTGGCGCACGCCTGAGTCGTTCCTCTCCCAGAGTTCCCTTCCCCTGTGTGTGCAGAGCCGTCCTAGTGTCGCTCTCCCACCTGCATAGTATCCCGGCCTCAGGGAAGGCTGCCCGAGGGTGGGTGTGTCCCTGCGGGTGGGGGGGGGTCCCGTGGGCATGTCCCCGTGGGCGGGTGTGTCTCTGCGAGTGGGCGTGTCCCCGTGGGCGGGCGTGTCTCTGCTGGTGGATGTGTCCCTGCAGGCGGGAGTGTCCCTGCAAGTGGGCGTGTCTCTGCGAGTGGGCGTGTTTCTGCGGGTGGGCGTGTCCCGCGGGCGGGTGTGTCCCCGTGGTGGGCGTGTCCCTCAGAGTGGGCTGGCTTGTCCCCGTCGATGGGTGTGTCTCGTGGGGCGGGGCTTGTCCCCCGCAGTGGGTGTGTCCCTACAGTGGGCGTGTCCCCCTGAGCAGGCGTGTCCCCCTGAGCAGGCGTGTCCCCGCGGGGCTTGGACACTCTAGCCACAGGTGCGTGCAGCCCCCATCAGAGGTGTGGTTTTTCTTTTTAGCAGCAATGTGGTCTGAGGACTCATGTCTTCTTTCAGTCCTACATGATTTTGCTCTCACGTTCACCAGGTTTGCGTTCCACAATCTCTGGCATTGTCTTCTGCTAGACCTCTGCTGGGGCTTCTCGCTTTGTCCTGTGTCTTCTTTTTCCATTGCGGCAGAGTACACCTGACACTTGGCCATCGTCGCCATTCCTGAGCACAGTCAAGTGTCAGCAAGCCCATGCACACGGTGGTGTGACCGTCCCCACCCCCACTCCAGAACTCTTCCGTCTTCCCACACTGAAGCTCTGCCCCCCTATGCACCAACTGGCCATCCCTCCCCGGCCCTCGTACCCACTGTCCACTGTCTGTCTCTGGGGCTGTGGCCACGCTAAGTAGCCCACATGAGTGGAATCACACAGTGTACATCCCTTTGTGGCTAGCTTATCTCGCTGAGCCCACTGCCCTTGGGGTTCATCCCAATCCTAGCGGGTGTTCTAAGCCTGCGTGATATTCTGCTGTGCGGATGGGGCATATTCTGCTCGTCCACCCACCTGTCCATGCACACATGGGCTGCTTCCACATTTCAGCGCCTGTGAGTCGTGCTGCTGTGAACTTGAGCGTGCAAGCACATCCTTGTACCCAGAAGTGGAATTGCTGGGCCATGCTCTGGTTCTGTGCCTATCATTTGAGGAGCTGCCAGGCTGTTTCCCACAGCGACGCCACCACTTTCCATTCCTGCCCAGAGTGCTCGGGGCTCCACATCCTCACCCACGTTCCTCACGTTCTGGTTTGGGTCAGTGTTTGGGTAGTAGCCATCCTGGTGGGCGTAAGGTGGTGTTCCTCGTGTCTCTCAGCTTCTTTTTCATACTTACGGAAATCTTAGTGCTGAGTCCGTGTGACCTCCTCACGGTTGTCTTCCAGTTCCCTGGTTGTCTCTTTGTGTATGTTCTACAATGTTCTAGAATCTACTAAGACTTCATTTCTCCTACCCTATTTCTCTTTTGTCAAGTATTCAGCTGATTCTTGTACACATCCACTTACTCTTGTTTCCTCATCCATTTTTATGGGAAAACATCCCCCCCCTTTTTTTTAGAAGGAAGTACTTCTTCACGTGCTCCTACGTCCACGACTCCCTGATCCTGAAGTCCCGTGTTTCCTATCACACGCCTCCCCTCGGAGGACTCCCTGGACATGTGGCTCATCCCCAGATTTTGAGCTCCAGCTGAGGCTTCTCTCCTGACATTCAGACTCACACACAACTTCCCTGAGATGCTCAGCATGCATCTCCACCTGAGCATGTCCATCACCACCTCCTGACCTTGTCCTCAGAAGCCCGTTCCCTGTCTCTGCTGGGAGCACCCTGTCCTTCCTGCCACTCACCAAAACACCTTGGGAATCATCCCTGACATCCTTCTCTCTCTCAAGTTCTGCACCACATCCGAGCAGAATGGCAGCTCATGTCCCTGTCCCCGCTGCCTCCACTGCCCCACCCATCAGCCGGGTTCACGGAGGTGGCCTTGAGCTGTCTTCCTGCTTCTGCCCTGGCCACCCTTCAGCTCTGGACACGGCCAGTAGTGTGAGCCTCCAGAGCCTGGCACTCTTCCACTCAATCCTTCCTGTGACCGTCAGCCTCACTCAGAGGGAAAGCCAAAGGTTTTGCCAAGGCTGCAAGGCCCTGCGCAGCCCCTTTGCTCTAGGCTGGCCACACCGCCTTCAAACACTCTTGCCTCTGCCAGGTCAGAGGTTTTCAAAGTGCAGTCCACAGACTCCTGGGGACCTGCGAGGTTCTTAGGGGGATTCACAAAGTCAGAACTATTTTTATGAGAATACCCAGATGTCGTTTGCCTTTTCCTACCATGTTGATGTGTGCGCTGACAGGCAAAGAAGCAAAGGAAGGTAAAACCGTGGGCTCTGAGTGCCAGTCAGGACAGGCCCCAAGCTGTACTGGGCGCCATCCCCGCACATGCTCCAGTAAGCAAACGACAAACAAAAAGTGTTGATTTCACTCAGAAGTCTCCTTGATGAGGAGCAAAATTTATTAATTTTATTAAACCTTGACTCTTAAGTATACTTTTTAAACATTCCATGGGATGAAATGGGATGTTCGCATAAAGTGCTTGTTGCATACTCAAGGGTGTTGACTGTCTTGAGGAAAAGCTTGTGGGCAGTGGCCTGAGTTGTCAACTAAACGAGCCCCTTCCTTCCTTCCTTCCTTCCTGCCTTCCTTCCTTCCTTCCTGGAACAACATTTTTGCTCAAAAGAACCACCCCCAGACTATAATTACTCAGGTCACCTGGGTGTTTGGCAGGCATTTTTCTCAAATTTGGGGTGTCTTTTAAGAACAACTGACAGCATCTGACAGCTTTCAAGCGAAAAATAGGATTTTATGAACTTGAATCTGACACCCAGAGCTTGACGGTGTCCCGGCACTTAGCCTCTTAGGAGACTGGCGATCATTAATCAGCCAATGTGATTTTTCTGTATGTTGTACAATAAAACAAAACATGTCCACACTTTGAAGATCTGCATAGCTCAACAAACAGTATGTTCTGCACAACCAACACATCACATTACGAAATCATGCCCGAGGAATAACCCCTCCAAAGTGCAAGGCAGACCAGCAGATTCTCACATAACCGAGCATGAGAGGCTCATCAGTCAGTCTGGGTCCATGTAGCACCCGACCTTTGAGACGAGTGGCTATGGAGTGGTACTTGAGTGACTCTGTATCTAGGAAGAAGAGCTGTGAGTATCTGAGAAGGCTGTCCACATACCCTCCCTTGTCCAGCTGCCAGCCTGTGTGAAGCTGGTTCTCTTCGGGGGCTTCGTCCCCAAAAGTGTAGTACGACAGGGTGACCGCAGAACAGCCGTAATCCCTTAAGTTGGACACTACAGAGGCTTGCAGATATGGAACACAATGCCACTTTCCTCGCTCAATTGTGGGAAATACAGCTGACTTTCATGAAAATACTTATGTTCAGTTATAGTGGGTTTGTTACCGTTCTGAAAAATCTTTAAATTTTCTTAGTACTAATTCGCGATCCCACAAGAACTGGTAGGTGTATACGTGCGTCCGTGACCCACATGAGCACGCGTTCTCTGATGTCCTCAGTCACTTTTAAGACCATAGAGGGGTCTTACAACCAGAGCGTCTGAGGGCCGCCAGCGTGGACTGCAGCCACACTATTCTACCCATGACTCTCCCATCACACTTTTCCCACGCACCACCTTCCCGTCACAGCTGTCCTTGGCCCACTGGCTACCATCGCTGCCCCAGCCCAGGGGACGCCTGGTCCCCATCTGTGCCTTGCTGCTCTGCACGGGGCTGTCCCCACCCAGCACACTCCGCTCTGCTCCGTTACCCTCTGTGTCCCCAGTGGGTTACAAGCTCCAGGAGGGGAGGGGCTTGTGTGTGTGGTTGTGGCAGGCTCCCCGGTGCCCGGCATAGGGCCTGTCTGTAGAACAGATGAGTGAATGACAGGGGATGGACCAGGTGAGAAGCAGGACTGGGCTGGACTGTGTCCACTGTGCAACGTCAGGGTGAAGTCTGCTGGGGACATCCATGTGGGGGTCCCCAGGATGGGGAGGGCGTGTGGCCCCAGGTGGGGTCACGGTCCCTGCAGAGCATGCACCGTGACAAGAGGAGAGGCTGTGGGCCAAGCCTGGGGTCCCCCAAGCCTGGTGCCCACGTCCCCGCGCGATGGCCGATGCCGGGCAGGGTGGGCGGCCCGTGCTCTCCCCTGCGTTCAGCACATTTGTCTTCTCTCCGTCCATAGCCAACATGGCAGCCGCCATAGGGGGCTTCCTCTACTTCTTCACCTACATCCCGTACTTCTTCGTTGCTCCCCGATACAACTGGATGACTCTCAGCCAGAAGCTGCTCTCCTGTCTCCTGTCCAATGTTGCCATGGCGATGGGAGCCCAGCTCATAGGAAAATTTGAAGCAAAAGGTGAGTCTCTTCCTTCTGACGAGCGGCCCTTGCCGACTGAGTTACTAAAAGAGTGTGCTCAGGGCCGCCTCCAGCATGCAGCTCCAGCTCCAAGCAGGACAGCTCAGCAAGTGGGGCAGGGGACGGCAGGTGCTCTGTGGTGGGGAGGCTCTCGCCTGGGCAGGAGCCCCGGGGGAGGCGGGCCAGACCCGGAAGCTCAGAGGACAGAGCGCTAACATGCCCAGCGCAGCGACGGCCACCACTCACCTGGAGCTCCTGTCCGGGAGCAGCTGGGGCTGTGAGAGAGCAGACCTCTGAGCCTCTGCCTGCACCTGGGGTGCTGAGAATAGTGAGGCCCTGGCCTCAGAGTCTGCGGGTGGTGACCAGCCCCCAGCTCTTGGTCAGGTGGCGGAACGGGCGCCTCCCTGCGCAGTGAGTGGGGATGAGGGAGAAACAAGTCACAGGCCAGAACTGTTTTTGTGATTTTCCTGTAAACATCACAGGGGTTGAATAAAACACGTCTTTGGGCACAGGAGCTGCCTGCTCGGGTTTCAAGGGTGGGGTCCAGCCTGCTCCTCTGAAAGTTGGAGAGGCCCCCATTTACCCTTAAAGCCCACCTGCTGGGGGTGTCCTCCCGGGAGGACCTTGGAGGGGCGGAGGGGGCTGTCGCCGCCAAGGGGAGGCAGGAGGGTGAGCGTGAGCTTCTGCGTGGCTGCGGCATTGTGCTGGCCTGTCCCGTCTGGGGACAGAACTGCGCGTCTGCGGGCACTGGACCCTGTGCTGCCCAGTGTCTCTGTCTCGGGCTTACGTGGTCTTGTGGTCTCGTGTCTCATGGTCCTGGCTGTTGTGGTTTTCTTGCGTGGGTCTGTGGCAGGAGGGAGGCCGTGGATCATCCGTGTGGCCTTAGCTTTCATTAGAGTTGTTTTCTTCTGTGGCAGTGTCTTCTTGCACTTCAGCCTTTAAACGTCTGTGTTTCTGTGTTTAACTATGTGTGGTAAATGTAGACTTTTTCAGTGCATTGCCCCTTCCGGGGTTCAAATACTTTCTTAAAAGCCATTAACCAAGAAGAACCTAACTGTAGGGCAACTCTTGGTTTTCAAAGTTCTACACCGATTTTACTTAAAACAAACTTCTGGTTGCTTGAAAGTGACCAAAAGCAGAGCACAGCCACTTGGAGCCGACAGAAGGTAGCTGGCCATGTGGAGGCTGCAGGTACCGTTTGTGCTGCAATGTTTCAAACCAGACGGAAGGCAAGACCTGTCGGCACCACAGTCGAGCTTTATACATGTCTCGAGTGCTTCTATTTTTTGAAAAGACTTGTACTAAACATATACTATTCATGTGGGCCTTCCCTGAATCATACACATGTGTCTGTGTATTTGCGCGTGTGCACCTGCGGATGGTGCGTGTGCATACACGTACCATGTACGTGGACACACATGGATCAGCATGGAGGTCGTGCTCTGTCTTCCAGGTGTGGGTGTCCAGTGGCGAGACCTCCTGAGTCCTGTCAATGTGGATGATGACTTCTCCTTCGGGCAAGTGCTGGGCATGCTGCTGCTGGACTCTGTCCTCTACGGCCTGGTGACCTGGTACGTGGAGGCCGTGCTCCCAGGGCAGTTCGGCGTGCCCCAGCCCTGGTACTTCTTCGTCATGGTGAGTTCCGCATGCTGGCCGCCTGCGTGGGGGTAGAGGTGCCCTCTGCACACACCCCGGGCCCTTCCAGTCCCTGGCACGCAACCCTGCCCCGTGTGCGGTCAGTGAGGCGTGTGTCCCCAAGGCCCTGAGACCGCTGGCCGAGATGAGCCCTGCACTCCAGGGTCTGCAGGATCCCACCCCCAGAGATGAACCAGGCTGACCCCGTGCTGTGTAGCCCTTTGGACTGTTTTTCTATGCACATGCATATCACGTACACATGCTTGTGTTTATAGAAAGGGGATCATGCTGGAAAAATGCCTGAAACTTGTTTTTTTTTTAACCTGATTTAGCTATCTTAAATATAAACGTGTGGATCTGTTTATAAATATACTTTTAGGTTTTTACATGTACACATTTGTAAGTTTTGTTTTACTTCTCTGGACTATGTTGTGTGCACTCTGGGTAAGCCTGCCAGGGACCAAGTGCCCAGACAGCAGGCCAGGAAGGGGCTCCGAGCCTCCCCAGGATAGAGGAGGGAGGAGACACGTTCCCCTGGGCGGAGGGCTATGTGCTGTGTGTATTCAGCGTGTCGGTAAACATGTTGCCGTTCATCACACACAAAATGAACCGACACGGGTCAGTTATTTGAGACCCGTCCATCCTAGCCCTCGTACTGGTGTGGGCACCCACGGACGGTTTTGGGAAAAGAAGAGGAAGATGATGACCCAGAGAAAGCGCTCAGAACGGAGTACTTTGAGGCTGAGCCGGAGGACCTGGTGGCCGGGATCAAGATCAAGCATGTGACCAAGGTGCCACACCCCATGGGCTGGGCGGGTGTGGGGACCTTGTGAGCCACAGGGCGTGACACCTGCCACCTTCCCCAGGGCTCTCTCCAAGCCAGTAACCGTCCCCCAGACCGGGACCCCCATGGCTGCCTTCTGACCAGCTCTCTGGGCCCCAACCACTCCCCAGGCTCCTCCCCAGGCTTGAGTCAGCACCACCTGGACTTAACCTCCCATCAGCTTTGCAGCAAACACTTGCTGTGCTCACTGCACGGGGACAGATATCAGGGACCTGCCCGGTGAGGGTGGGGGGAGCGGTGGGGAGCATCATGGCCTCCAGTCAGCCTCTGCCCGAAACTTCCCACCTTTGCACTGACTGGTGGTGCTGGGCATGGGCTCCCAAGACCCTCTGGGTGGGCATTCCAGAGGGCATGCTGGAAGCAGTCGGGGGTGGGGCCTGCAGTTCAGGGCGCCCTCTGCCTTTGCTGCAGGTGTTCAGAGTGGGGAACAAGGGCAAGGCGGCAGTCAGAGATTTGAACCTGAACTTGTATGAGGGGCAGATCACGGTGCTACTGGGCCACAACGGCGCAGGGAAGACTACCACCCTCTCCATGCTCACAGGTAAGGGACCGTGGCCTGTGCTCTGGCAGCCCTGCCACAGGCCCGCTCACCCACTGAGGCGGGAGCAGGCTCGCCCGCAAACTCACAGCCTGGGTGCTCGTTAGAATGAAGCAAAGCCACGTGAACAGGACCCGGGCCACCCTCGCGCCAAGCAGAGGGTGTCAGTGCTGAACTCACACCTCTGGGTCCTCTGCTTGGCCCTAGGTCTCTTTCCCCCAACGAGCGGACGGGCGTATATCAACGGGTATGAGATTTCACAAGACATGGTTCAGATCCGCAAGAGCCTGGGCCTCTGCCCACAGCACGATGTGCTGTTTGACAACCTGACCGTTGCAGAACACCTGTATTTCTATGCACAGGTGAGCCGGCGTCTCAGTGGACTCAGGTCGCGTGCTGGTTCCATGGCCTGTGTGCTTGCGCCCCAGGGCGTGAGCCGTCAGCCCCCCAGCAAACAGAATGCACTCTGAGCAGCCTTTGCAGATCTGCAGTGGGAGGTGGGGAGGGACATCAGGGCACCAGGTGCGGCTCACAGAGAGAAGGGGATGACACTGAGGCCAGGCTCCTCGAGGACTGGACGGGCCAGCCTCCCAGCGGGAGCCCCTGCCGGACCTCTCCGTCCCCCGCTGTTGCAGCTGAAGGGCTTGTCCCGTCAGAAGTGCCCTGAAGAAGTCCAGCGGATGCTGCACGTCCTCGGTCTGGAGGACAAGCAGGACTCCCTGAGCCGGTTCCTGAGTGGGGGCATGAAGCGCAAGCTCTCCATCGGCATCGCCCTCATAGCGGGCTCCAAGGTAGGCGGGCGGGAGGCCCCGGGGCAGGGCCCCGTGCACGCAGACGGCCGCTCGGGATGGCGGCACGGAGGCGTCGGGCTCCGGGCCCCACGCGGCACGGGGTGGCTGCGGCCCCTGGACGCCTGCAGAGCAGCCTGGCCAGGGCGGGACGGCCACGTCTTCACAAACTGGAGCCTCACGGGGCCTCCCAACAGCCAGCCCAGGCCCGCCACGCGGCTCTGCCACCACCTCCAGCAGCTACTGCTCTGCCTGCAGGTGCTGATGCTGGACGAGCCCACCTCGGGCATGGACGCCATCTCCAGGAGGGCCATCTGGGACCTCCTGCAGCAGCACAAGAGTGACCGCACCGTGCTGCTGACCACGCACTTCATGGACGAGGCTGACCTGCTGGGGGACCGTGTGGCCATCATGGCCAAGGGGGAGCTGCAGTGCTGCGGGTCCTCGCTGTTCCTCAAGCAGAAGTATGGTGAGCGGCGCGGGTGGGTGGGCGGGCGGGCAGCGGGGCAGGCCTGCCTCCCTTCCCCACGGCCCCGTCCCTGGCCTGGAGGGTCCCTGAGGCTAGGAGAGGGGCGGTGATAGGAGCAGGGAGCGAAGGAGCAGACAGTCTTGAGTTGGTTAGGATGGAGTCCAGCTGTGACCAGGGAAGAGAAGAGCAGCCAGCACCAGCCCAGGCCACAGAGGCCAACAGTGCCCTTGGAGAGGCCACGCTCGGTAGCATAGAGGCTCTCGAGCTGGCAGCCCATGGCACGGTCCAGGACCGGTGGTGGTGCGTGGTTTGCCATGTGAGCGTGGCTTCCTTTCTCGAGGGCAGCTCGTGGTCCGACACAGTCTAGTGTGGCGGGTCCACCCAGGTCCTGCCCACGGGGGAAGCAAAGACAGAAGCCGAGCTCCCCTCCTCAGACGCTCTGGGAGGTGCACCCCTCTTTCCCGCAGCTACCCCCTCAGGCTGGAGGGAGGCTGGAGAGAGGCTGGAGAGGGCGGCTGCTGTCCCCAGGGCTCCCTTGTGGAGAAAGCAGGTAGCACAGATCTTGGGGACAGTTCCTGCTGCAGCCTCTGAGACTTGGAGTCTGGAGTCCGGAGTCCTGCTTGGGCCTCGTGTCCTTACCGTGCAGCAGATCACCCCCCACCACCAAGTCCTCTGGCATCTCTGCCCAGCAGTGGGCAGGGAGACCAGGCCCTCAGGACGGCGGGCGCCCAGGGGCTCCGAGGTGCATTCCCGCGGCTCTCTGGCCCCTTCCCCATGAGCCTGCCCTCATTGGGAGCCCAGGGCCAGGAGAGACAGCCTCCACGGGAAACAGCGTCACGTGGGGCTCCTTGCTGTTCAGGTGCAGGCTACCACATGACGCTGGTGAAGGAGCCTCACTGCGACCCTGAGGCCATCTCCCGGCTGGTGCAGCACCACGTTCCCAGTGCCACGCTGGAGAGCAGAGCTGGCTCAGAGCTGTCCTTCATCCTCCCCAAGGAGAGCACGCACAGGTGTGTATCCCAGGGCTGCATAGGCACACGCCGGAGGAGGGGGCTCCATGGTCCTCGGGGTCTCCCAGCTTAGAGGACCTACCTTGTCCCTGTTGGGCTCAGCCAGCGGGCCTGTGACGGCACAGGGTGAACCAGCTTGCTAGATCTGGCAGGCAGGCCTCCCAGGGCCTCAGAGCTGGCAAACCTTCCCATACCTGGAGGCAGAGTGTCTGCGACCCCAACCCCGGGTCAGGCCTGCATAGCAGCTGCTCCGAGTTCCCGTGGGATCCTGCATTTGTGTATCTTCCTGGTGTCAGGCTTGGAGTCTTGCAGACCCCTGGTGTGGGGGGGCAAGAACCAAACTCTCGATTCACATTCAGAAACTGCGGGTATAAATCTGGAAAGTACATTTAATCTTTTGAAGAGCCCAATTGACGTGTGGTTTTAATAAATTCGTACGGTTCCCCGACCTGGTCACGCCGTGACTTCATCAACATCTGCGCTGTGACCACACGCTCATGGCGTTCCCCCCAAAATATGCTAGTGAACCTTCTAGAAAACTCTTTGTCTGAACCTCCAGTGACACCCGCCCCCCCTTTAGGATAGAGTCCTGATAGCAGGGTAAATGGTACCAAGTTCCCTCCTAGAAAGGAGGTGTGTTGACTTCCCCATCAGCAGGATGGGAGAGACTCCATTTTACCCCATGGCTGCCAGCCTTCAGTAAGGTTTTCTTAACATCTGTGTATCCAGTGGGTGAAGTGGCATTTTGTGTTTTTCCGTTCCTGCCGGCAGGAGGTGGAGCCTGGCCCACTGTGCGTGCTCTGGATAGTGTGCGTTCCTGTCCCTTGCTTGGTTGTCCATCAGTGTTTTATATCTTAGTATCAGCCATTTTTTGGTGCGGTTTTTTTTCGTTGGTCATTGACTAATTTTGTGGGATTTGTTTCCCACAAGGATACTTTACGTGTAATGGGTCATACTGTTTCCCTTGTGATTTTTTTCCTATGAAGCGCTACCCCAGAGTCAGATGAATATTCACCAGTTTCTTTGGGTTTGTTCTGTGATTTCATGTGGACGAATACTATGGAACGCCCCACGGGCCCAAGTACTCAGAGCAGAAGCTCCCGTCGGGACAGAAAAGGGGGAAACCAAGCCCGACCTCGGGGTTTCTTTGCAGTGGCTTTTCAAGGACGGAGGTCCCTTTGCTCCCCCAGACTGCCCGGAGAAACAGGCTGCCTCGAAAGTCACTGAGACGCAGCTCTTCACTTGGGGTCTTGTTTCCAGGTTCGAAAGTCTATTTGCTAAGTTGGAGAAGCAGCAGAAGGAGCTGGGGATCGCCAGCTTCGGGGCCTCGGTCACCACCATGGAGGAGGTCTTCCTCCGGTCAGTAGACACATGTTTCCAACAGTCTGGGTGCACATGCCTGTTTAACGCAAGACAGTGAGGCAGCCCCTCACCCCACACCCCCTGAGGGCAGCCGGACAGCCAGCTGTGGGCAGGGCCCCACGAGCCCCACAGCATTCACCACGCAGAGGGCCACTGAGCTCAGGTCTCTGGAAACTTCCACCCCTCCCTCATGGGGAGTGTGCAGGCGTCCCGGGGGCCCCTTCCCAGAGCAGGTGTCTGTCCATGATGAAGGTGGGGGCTGGACAGGCAGACCCCCAGACCTGCGGGCATGCGGCGGGGCGGGGACAACAAACGTATTTACCGGACTTGTCTTGAGTGCTTATTTGGCAGACAGAGTGCCAAGAACTAGAAGTACAAAGCTAGTGCAAGGTAAAGGTCAGTGCTTGAGGATCCCGGGTCCTAGGGGAGGCAACAGAGTAGCAAGTGCACGGCTCAGGTCACTCCCTGGCATCGGGGCGGCCCAGCACCTGGGGGCCTGCTGGCCTCCCTGCCTACGCTCTCCACAAACGCCCGGCCCATCTCCCAGGGAGGTCCTCATGGGCAGGGCCGTTGTCTGGATGTCTCTGCCAGACTCTGCTTGGCTGTGGTGCCTGGAGTCTGGGGCATCTATTGATGAGCGAGTGAGGAAATGAACCGCCAGCAGGCAAAGCCAATGGTGTGCTCCTCCTTCCAGTGGGATGGCGTCCGCAAGGAGCCGAGCGCTGACCAGCCTCTCGTTTCTTGGCGCAGGGTCGGCAAGCTGGTGGACACAAGCATGGACATCCAAGCCATCCAGCTCCCTGCCCTGCAGTACCAGCACGAGAGGCGGGCAAGTGACTGGGCCGTGGACAGCCACCTGTGCGGGGCCATGGACCCGACCAACGGCGTGGGCTCCCTGATCGAGGACGAGTGCACCACCGCCAAGCTCAACACTGGGGTGAGCACAGAGGGCTGGGGGGCCCCTGAACCCCATGTGTTGGCATCCACGGGGGCCGATGAGGGCTTGCGGAGGCTCAGCTCCCTGGGAAGAGGGTAGATTGCAGCTCACACGGTCATGGCAGGGAGAAGAGGGTAGATTGCAGGTCACACGGTCATGGCAATTAAAACCCGGAGCATTTTAATTGACAACTGTCATTTCCTCTTGTCACTGGGCTGCTCACGAATGAGCAAACATTGCACATCATGCTCACGGTGCTCCGTGTACCGAGGGCTAGCCATAGGCCTCGTGCTCACTCAGTGAGGTAGAGGGCAGCATCGGCCCCATTTGGCAGACAGAACACGGGGGGCCTGGGCCCAGGGGCATAGCTGGCGTGTGGCCAAGCAGGCCTTTGACCCCGGCGCCCACACTGGGAGGACAGCAAAGGGCAGCCCTCTGCTCCCATGTGAGTGCAGGCCGGGTCCTCCCACCAGGATCAGGGGAAGGGCAGAGGTTTGGCTCCCCTATGGGACCGCAGCTGGTCCCCCAGCGCCCAGCGCCCACCTGGCCTCCATGGCGATGAAAGCACTGCCCCCAAGGCCACGTCATGTTACTAAAGGAGCTTTGCGAGCAGCCCTAGGGCCTTGGGGCGCGTGGGTCAGCCTAAGGCCCCAGGCTTGCATTTGGACCGGCCTGCTGCTGCTGGGCGGGGGTCCCACGCTGGCCTGCGTGGCAGCCGTGGCAGCCATGGCAGCTCATCCCCTCTGCCACAGCTCGCCCTGCACTGCCAGCAGTTCTGGGCCATGTTCCTGAAGAAGGCCACATACAGCTTGCGTGAGTGGAAGATGGTGGTGGCCCAGGTCCTGGTCCCGCTGACATGCGTCACGCTGGCCCTCCTGGCTGTCAACTACTCCTCAGAGACCTTCGACGACCCCAGGCTGGAGCTGACCCTGGGCGCGTACGGCCGAACTGTTGTGCCCTTCGCCGTTCCAGGGGCCTCCCGGCTGGACCAGCTGCTGGCGGAGCGTCTGAAAGACATGCTGCAGGCTGAGGGCCAGGAGCCGCGGGAGGTGCTGGGTAAGGGGCGGCCACGGGGCTCGGGCCAAGTCGTCCGAGCCTGGCTGCTCAGCCCAGGCGCCGTGGGCATCTGGGCCAGTTGGTTCCTTGCGGTCCCACGCACCGTGGCATGTCCAGAAGCACCCCCCTTCCCTGGCTCCGTCATGACATCCAAAAACGCCTCCAGACGTTGCCACTGGGGGAGAAGGCCATCACCCGAGTCAGAGAAAGACATTGGGCAGCGTCTAGGGCTAAGGTTTGCCCGGGTGGCCGTGGACCAAGGTTGTCTGTTTTGGGGCTGTTGTAGGTGAAATGCTAAAGAAACCTCCATGGCCTGTTTGCCGGGCTGGTCACAACATGCACGGAGGGAACTCAGTGCTTTCTTCCATCACATCAAGCCCGAACCATCCACGTCCCTGGTCGTGGCAGCTGGACACTGCCCTGGGCTGAGAGGCCTCGCGCTCGGGTTAAAGGGGTCGTGTGGGAAGGCTGGCTCGGTTCACCACTCCCCTCCCACGTCCCGGTACACTGGGTGGCCAGCAAATCTTGGCAGGAATCGGGTTCTTATTTAGGAAAAGGCTGAATGCCCCTGGCGTAGGCCAGCCCTGCAGTGGGCACTGCTGCTAGGGAGGAATGTGGGCAGCCATGCCCACCACTGTCACCGGGTTAGCCCCACTGATTCCGCAGTGGGCACTCCTGTCACCTCCATGCCCCCCAGCCTTGTTCGCTGGCTGCCACCCAGCCTGGCCTCAGGAATTTGGGGCTCTCATATAGCACACGGTGGCTCTGGGGCATTCAGGACATAGCCTCAGGTGCCCCTGGCCTGAGTCCTCCTGGATGGCCGAAGTGTCCATTCTGTCGTCAAGCGTACGAGCCCACGGTTTTGACCACCTCGCTGTGTGGTCTTGTTACGCTGTATTTAAGGACTTCTGATTCTTTTCCTTGAGTAATGACAGCTGTGCAGGCCGGGGCGGACCGAGCCTTCATAACTCTTGAAGTTAGGGCTCACAGACATGTCCCTGTCCCCTCAGTGACCCTGGGTCCCGTAGGGCAGGTGTCCTTGTTGGACCCATTTACAGCTGAGCGAGAGGCAGGGCCAGGGCAGCGAGGGTGTGAGCGGGTGCATGTGATGCTGGACCATGCAGCCAGCAGCGAGCATAGGCAGACCCCGGCACCACTCGTCAGACCCCCTTCTCCCCAGGCGTCCGCCAGGGAGCCAAGTGAGAGCCAGCAGGACTACCCAGAACCTGAATGCCCGAACGGTCCAAGACCTGAAGTGGGAGTTGGCTGGGGTTCTTCCAGGTGACGAGGGAATGCTCCTCCTCCCTACGCCCTCCTCCCCCAGGCCACTCTTTTTTTTTAAAGATTTTATACATTTATTTGAGAGATAGAGCGCGTGCATGCATAGAAGGAGAGGTAGAGAGAGAAGCAGGCTTCCCACTGAGCAGGGAGCCCAATGCTGGGCTCGATCCCAGGACCCTGGGATCATGCATGACCTGAGCCGAAGGCAGATGCCCAATGACTGAGCCACCCGGGCCTCCCAGGCCATTCTTTTGAAAAACCATCTTATTTTTTTCTGAAAAGGTACTTAATCATTCCATAAAAACTGGAACACCAGAAAAACAGGCAGAGGTCCTGTCTAGTTGCACCCCCACCAAGGGCAGCCCCTCCCTGTCCCCTGGCAGCCCCTCCCTGCACCTGCCGGCCCGCCCAGCGCCTATCGGCTAAGACAGCTCTGCCTTCTCCTGAGTGGCCTCCTCCCTGCCACGCCGGCCCTGGTCCACGGCTGCTCCCTTTAGTGTCCCCCCCACAGGGGGCATTTGTGGGGCAGAAGGAGGAGCTTGCTCCGCCCACATGGCCTCCTGTGGCTACAGTGTGCCTGCTCACCAGAATTCTGCAGCCTCAGGCCCTGCTGCTCCCATGACGTGGCTCCTCAGCCCGTGTCCTTCCTGCGGTTCCTCCAGAGCCTCAGGCACGCGCCTCAGGGGGCTGTCCTCCGCCACTCACCCTGCCATTGTCCCCCCAGGTGATCTGGAGGAGTTCCTGATTTTCAGGGCCTCGGTGGAGGGAGGCGGCTTTAACGAGCGGTGCTTGGTGGCGGTGTCCTTCAGAGACGTTGGTGAGCGGACGGTGGTCACTGCCCTGTTCAACAACCAGGCATACCACTCCCCGGCCACTGCGCTGGCCGTCGTGGACAACCTTCTGTTCAAGCAGCTGTGTGGCCCCCGGGCCTCCATCATGGTCTCCAACCAGCCCCAGCCCCGGAGCACCCTGCAGGCTGCCAAGGACCAGTTCAACGAGTATGTGCGCCGCCCCTGCCCCCTGCCCCTCTGCCAGAGCCCCACCCCCGACCGTCAGGACCTCTCATCAGGACCGACCCCCCGGGGCAGTGCCAGGGACCACCAACGGCCATGCAGGTGGATATGGCACTGTGTCTGCCTTTAGGAAGCTTCTGGGTTCTGGCCAGGGAACCCCTGCCCTACATCTTCCTCAGCCTTCCATACTCTTTCCTTGGGTAGCTGGTGAGATCCTGTCCTCCATCCACTGAGGTCTCCGAGGGGGGACTCCTGAGGATTTGGAGGGCGGCTGTGCCCTCTTCCCGAGTCTGTACCTGTCTCCTGCTGACTGCTGTACCCAGGGGTCCCAGCACACGACCAGGATGCAGAACACAGCGAGGTCAGGGGTCGCTGCCCGAGGCAGCCGCAAGTCAGGAAGCCCCATGGACATCTCTGTTCTCAGGCCTCATCCTGCCCTGGTGTGTGGGGGACTCTCCCCCACACTGGTTACAGAGCCCCCCCAACCCTGGGACCATACAGACGAAGCCCGAGAAAATCAGTTAATTTCAGAACCATCACCCCACATAGGGCAATTAATGGGGGGGGGCAGTTTCATCTTCACGCCCTGCCCCATACTGGACTGCACTCCAGGCCCTACGCAGACCCTACGAGGTCTTCCCCTCCACGACCTCCACGACCTGAAAGCAGAGACACAGTGGCCGTTGTCTACCCCTCCAGGAGCAGATGAGCACACTGCAGGGTCGGAACCACATCACTCTGGGACCTCCACTCTGACTGGGCCCCAGGGAGACAGGCCTGCGGGGCCCTCAGACCTGGGCGGGGCGGGGGCCGAACCAGAACAAGGGGCAGCTCCCTCCTGGTGGGCTCAGTGTGGTGGACGGGGCGGTTGGACTCTGTTTTGTGTTTGCAGCGTGAGCAGATAGAACTCTGTACCCGTTTATAACGTACGGTCAAATGGTCGTTAGCATGTTCGGAGCATGGGGCCCTTGGCACGCTTGCTGTCACTGACGCATGAGGTCACATTAGTTCCAAATGTGTGGTGAACCCTCACCACCTGGATCCGGTCACATCCCTGGTCACACAAGTTCCAGAGTCTTATCTCCTGTGATGAGCAGTTTTCAGGTCGTCTCTCTGAGCAACTGCAACACGTGATCCGGGATCGTTAACCTTCACCGTAGTCCCCATGTTGTACGTGACAGCCCCAGGACACATTTATCTTATGACGGGAAAGCCGTACATGTTGACCCCTCACCTGCTGTGCCCACCCCCTGCCCCCCACCTCTGTAAACCACACAATCTGTTCTCTGTCGTTCTCTACGACTTCCATTTGGGTTTAGGTTTTTTCAGATTCCATACGTAAGGAAGTCATAAGGTATTTGTCTTTCTTTGTGTGACGTACTTAATTTAGCTCAGTGCCCTCAAGAACCATCCACATTATCACAAATGGCAGGATGTCCTTCTTTGTTGTGGCTGGAAAATGTTCCCTTGTGACCAGACCCTGGTTTCTTGATCCTGCTGACAGGTTGTTTCTGTCTCGGCCGTTGTAAAGCAATGCTGCCATGAACATGTGGCGCCCACATCGCTCAAGTCAGCAATTCATTTTCCGAAAGTGCAATTTCTGGAGCATATGGTGGCTCTGGGTTTAACTTTCTGCTGGCCCTCCACACTGTTCTCCCGTGTGGTGGCCGCCCCCATGTGCATTCCCACCGACAGCACACAAGGGCAGCCCTCTCTCCGCGTCCTTGCCCGCACATACCGGACGTGAGGTCTCTGTGAGGTGGTCTCTCCCTGCGGCTTTGACTGGCGTTTCCCTGGTGCTTTGCGGTGCCCAACACGTTCTCATGTGCCTCTTGGACCACAGCGGGATTTTACTGAGCGAGCCGTCACGCCCATGGGAGGCCCCAGGACACAGCAGTCACTGCCCGACCCTCCTTGCCCTTCTCCAGGCGGCCTCCGCGCGGTCCCGTCTGGGGACACACCCGCTCAGGACATCTCCTACCGATGGAATCGTTTTGTGACTGGCTTCTTTCACTTCCAAGGCCCATCCATGTTGTAGTGTGCATCCATAATTCTCTGTTTCCAGCCAAATAGCATCCAGGTGTCAAAGTGCCATTTTTGAGACAGACAGGAAGTCTTTAAGCAGCAGAGTAACACCCCCTGTGCTGGTTTCTGACAACCGATTGCAGAATGTGGGATGAGCTGCTGAGGGGGGTAGCCAGCCACAGGGGGTTTCTCAGGAGATGTGGAAAGGCGGATCGGTGGTGGCCCGTCACCTGCGTGTCTGTGGGGGGTGGGGGGCTGGGAGAGTGGTGCCGCCATCACTGGGGACCGGAAGCCCAGAGGAGGAATTCCTGGGATGAGATTTTCCCTGCTCTGAGACCCACCCCCCCCACACACACACAGCTCTGGCATTCTCTCTTAACCCCTGTTAGCAGCTGGGCCACTCCACCGCATGCTTTGGTTGGTGACCAGGGACTTGATGAATGTCCCCTGCTGCCTGGTCCCCGCTCAGTCCCTGACTTGCCCTGTCCCCCTAATACCCCACAGGGGCCGGAAGGGATTCAACATCGCTCTCAACTTGCTGTTCGCCATGGCGTTCCTGGCCAGCACCTTCTCCATCCTGGCAGTCAGCGAGAGGGCCGTCCAGGCCAAGCATGTCCAGTTTGTGAGTGGGGTCCATGTGGCTACTTTCTGGCTCTCCGCGCTGCTGTGGGACCTCATGTCCTTCCTCGTCCCCAGTCTGCTGCTGCTGGTGAGGGCTGTGAGGTGCTGGGACACCCCCCTGCACGTCACGGGGGGCTTGCTCTGGGGCCCCTGCACTGACTGCAGCCAGCCTGGGGTACATGCCAGCTGCTCAGCCCCATCTGGGAGGGTGGCTGGGAACACCCTTCATCTGTGTCTGCACCCCCAGCCTCCGCCCCACGGTGGCAGGCAGGGCCCCGGAGCGGCATGCCCCGTGACGGCTCCAAGTACAGGGGGGCGGAGGGCAGGTCATCAGGGGGAGTCCCAGGGCTGAAAGCCACCGGGGAGACAGGGCCCCCGAGCCGCCTGCCTCTGTGCCGCCACAGGTGGTGTTCAAAGCCTTCGACGTGCACGCCTTCACACGCGACGGCCACATGGCAGATGCCCTGTTGCTGCTCATGCTCTATGGCTGGGCCATCATCCCTCTCATGTACCTGATGAACTTCTTCTTCTCGGGAGCAGCTACTGCCTACACGAGGCTGACCATATTCAACATCCTGTCAGGCATAGCCACCTTCCTCATGGTCACCATCATGCGCATCCCAGGTGGGGGCCTGCGGACCCCCCCTGCCCCTCACCCCGGGTGCCTGCGGAGCCACTCTGCCCCGAACCTGGGCGGCACCAGCGGGCACTGGACCAGGCCCCTCTGCTGAATGTGGCCCTGCTGGGCCCGCAGCACTTCCGCCTCACGGTTTCAGCCAGGAGGGGGCGCGGGGGGGTTGTCCTGCAGGTGCCGTCCCCGGAGGGCCTGGCTCCCCATGTGGGGGTAACACTCGGCTGAGCGCCTGGCCCCCACGCACCGTGCTTGTGTGTCCTCCAGCGTCCACTGGTCTGTGCCCCTCTCCACAGCGGTCAAGTTAGAAGAGCTTTCCAGAACCCTGGACCACGTGTTCCTGGTGCTGCCCAACCACTGTCTGGGGATGGCGGTCAGCAGCTTCCATGAGAACTTCGAGATGCGGAGGTACTGCACCTCCTCGGAGGTCGCGGCCCACTACTGCAGGAAGTACAGTGAGTGTCCCTGCGGCCGCCCCTCTCACCACCCCGCACCCTGCGGCCGTGCTCTCCTGGGGGAGACCCTTGTTCTGCTCTGTGAGGGGGTGCCCCTTCCCCCCAAGCCGCCCCCAGGCTGACCCCCTGGGTCCCTCGGCCACCCAGGCATCTCTGTATCTCCAACCTCCCTCATCTTTCTCCTGCAAGGACATCTGTGGTTGGATTCAGGGCCCATCCCAAATGCGGGATCTCACCTCAAGACCCTTAGCTTTTTACATCTGCAAAGATCCTTTTTTAAATGGGGTTGCTCATGGGTTCTGGGGGTTAGGACGTGTTGTGTCGTTCTGGGGGCCACCTTTCAGCCCACCACATGCCCTTCCCATGCCTGGACCAGTCTTCAGCTGTGGTCAGCTATCACCTCTGTGACCATGGGGGTGGGGTGGGGGGGTCACATCTTCACGTCTCAGTGAACCCCCTCTGCCGAGCGGGGAAGGAGCCTGGGAGTGAGCAAGCGAGGGCATGACTCGGTCAGTTGTCACAGACACCCCTTGCAAAGTAAAACTGCTCACAGATGTCGGCAGTTCTTGGGGCTTCTGTGAGGCAGTGACAAGCACAGGGTGCGGCCTCGGAAGACGAGTGGACCCTGTGCCCTCACGGCCTCTGTTGGGGGCCGGTGTGCAGGCACCTGTAGGCCTAGAGAGGGGCTCGGGCTGGGACGCAGGGTGAGAGGGTGCGTGGGGCGGGGGGGCGCACAGGGTGGGGGCACATGGGATGGCGCGGGGCAGGAGGGCGTGGGGCAGGAGGGCGTGGTGCTCACTCCCTTGCCCACACAGACATCCAGTACCAGCAGAACTTCTATGCGTGGAGCGCCCCGGGGGTCGGCAGGTTCGTGACCTCCATGGCAGCTTCTGGATTTGCCTACCTCAGCCTGCTCTTCCTCATCGAGACCGACACGCTGTGGAGGCTGAAGACCTGCCTCTGTGCCTTCCGGAGGAGGCGGGCGCTGGTGAGTGGCCTCCGGCGCTCCCCACACCTCCACCTCCCTCTGGCCTGGGCAGGTGCACGCACGGGAAGGCCGCCGTGCTCACCAGCCCCCAGGCTCTCCAGTCCCAGACTCTGGGGTCCCCACAGGCTCCGTCTTAGAAGAGGCTGTTGGGCCAATGGCCCTCGTGTTTGTCACCTACATCCTGTCCCACAAACGCAGCCTGGGGAGGAGACTGCACTGGACGGACACAGGAACCCAGGGCAGGGGGTCTGCTCTGACCTGTGAAGACCGCTCTGACAAGGAGCTTCTGTCCACATAGTGCAGCCTCCATGCCCTCACCCGAGGTTCTTGGCTTTCTCAGTGTGTCCTGCACCATCCTTGCTCCTTGGCAGTCTGCATCTCCTCGGTGCTCATGTCAGCCCTTAAGTCCACCAGCTGTCCTTGTGAAAGCCCCGAGTCAGCACACCAGCGGTGTCAGAGGCCCCCGCCCTTTGTCCCATGGAAGAGGACCCCCTGAGCTGGAGGTCACCTGTGTGGTCTTTTTCCGGAACAATTAGATGGAAGCGTATGCTCGGACGTCAGCACCTCCTGAGGACCAGGATGTGGTGGATGAAAGGAACCGGGTCCTGGCCCCCAGCATGGATTCCCTGCTGGACACACCTCTGGTTATCAAGGAGCTCTCCAAGGTAAGGTGGGCCTCCCCACACCGGCCCTGGGCAACCCCTTTGGCTGCCTGCAGGCCCCAACACCCGGTGTCCCGCAGGTGTATGAGCAGACGATGCCCCTACTTGCCGTGGACAAGATCTCCCTTGCAGTCCATAAAGGGGAGTGTTTTGGCTTGCTGGGTTTCAACGGAGCCGGGAAAACCACAACTTTCAAAATGCTGACGGGGGAGGAGACCATCACGTCTGGGGATGCCTTTGTCGGGGGCTACAGCATCCGCTCTGAAATTGGGAAGGTGGGTGCAGCCAGAGAGGCGGGAAGAGGGGGCCCCGTGGAGGCAGGGATGGGGCTCGTTTCTGGCTTACAGTGCGTGAACAGGAGGACGAGGTGGTGACTGGGGCCAGAGCGAAGCGATGGGGAGGACAGAGGGCACGGGAAGATAAGAGCCCCCTAGGCCCGAAGGGCCCAGGCCACAGCCTCTCTCTGGGAAGCTGCTTCTCTGGACCCGGGGCCATGGTGCTCACAGCACTGTGCAGTCCATGTGCACAATTGATCATAACGGTGCCCTGAGCTGCTCAGACCAGGCATTCCACCAAGAATCAAAGCTGGGTAAAATGTCAGTAACAAAGCTCATTGTTAAGAGCATTGTAGAGCCTGCTGCACAGTGAGGAGCCCCGGCCAAAATTCTTGTGCCCCGAGAGGCACGGCAGGTTCCACCTCTGCAGAGAGCACATGGTGCTCCTGGCCCCCCGGGCACAGGTTTCAGGGCCTCATTGAGTGAAGGGGAGAAACTGAAGCCCAGGGCCCCCATGGTAGGGTGAGAAATGAGACTTTCTCCACGTGGGGCCAGGTAAGGATGAACCAGGCTGCCCTCCCACTCTCTGCGCCCTTGGGGATTGGGTGGGGGGTCCTCTGTGTGCCGAGGGGAGGAGCAGAGCCTGGGCCAGGGCCTGGGGGCAACCGTGTGTCCCGCCTGGCAGTGGGGACTTCTAGTCTGCCATGCCCGCAGAGTGCCGCCCACATTGTCTGGAGGAAGGCCTTCCTCTGAGGCCCCCAAGAAGCCCCAGACAGTGTTCCAGGGCCTGTGGGCAGTTCATGCACACCGAGAAACAAAGGAAGCATGGCCCCATGTCAAGAACCTGCGGGAGAAAAAAGCCCAGCACTATAGATTTGCCACCGCCAGACCCGGATTCTAAAACACCTGTGTTTACAGTGTTTAGAGAAACAAACAAGTTTAGACACACAGGCAGAAAAGAGAAAACCATAAACACGTCTTAGAAGCTGGAGAGGGAGGGGACTCGTCCATTTGTCTGGTCTGAGCTCCAGCGGATGGGAGAGCACGGGGACCGGTACTGAGTGATGGGGCAGCGGCAGAGAGAGAGTGTTCCCGGGTGGGCTGAAGCCTAGGAGCCCTCAGGAGAGTAAGGAGAGAGAAAACCCTGCCTGGAATCCATAGACCAACCCCAGGCTCACCGGCCCTTCGCCTGCTGCTGCAATAGCCAGGGAGACGGTGCGGCTGCGGGGGGTCCACGTGACCCCCGCCCCAGAGGCGCCGCCTGCAAACCCCTCCTTGATCAGCGGGAGCAGAGGGCAAAGGCTTACACGCCCCGCGCCTGTTTAATATCTGACAGGTACAGGAGCAGTGACGCAGATGTCACAGCGATGGTGGCCTTGTGCTCCTGCCCACCCTGCATGCCGTGGCCACGTTGGCTCCTGCAGTCACTGGCGCCTAGGGGTGGGGCGGGATGTGCGCCCGGGCATCCACGAGCTGGCCAGGACCCTCCGGTGTCCCTGACAAAGTGCAGCGTGGGGGCCGCCAGGGCCTGTCCACCGCCGGGCTGCCCCACACGGATCCGCTGGGAGAAACCTGGAGGAGCCCCCCCTCTGACCCGCTGCACCCCCTGCACCCCACCTCCAGGTGCGGCAGCGGATTGGCTACTGCCCCCAGTTTGACGCTCTGCTGGACCACATGACGGGCCGGGAGACGCTGGTCATGTACGCCCGGCTTCGGGGCATCCCCGAGCGCCACATCGGCGCCTGCGTGGAGAACACGCTCCGGGGCCTGCTTCTGGAGCCACACGCCAACAAGCTGGTCAGGACGTACAGGTGCGGCTGCACTCCGGCCCCCTAACCACCCCGTGCCACAGTGACTCCCGCGCCCCTGGGGTGGAGTCTGAGTCTCCCTTACCATAAAGCTGGTGGCAGCCGAACAGGTCTGGGGCCAGAGCTGCCACCCGTCGTTCCAGGATCAGATGGGGATCTGGCGGCATGACCCAGGCAGTGGAGGGGGGGCCTGCCCTGCCGGTTCCTACCAGTTCCTGCCACTGGGGAGGCACGGCCAGGCCAGGGGGAGGCCAGGCCTGTCAGGCCCCAGTCAGCAGAGACAGACGGTGTTACTGTCCTCTGGGTGTGGACTGACACCCCAGCACAGCTTTCCTTGGGGCCCCCAAAGCCACAGGTGGGCTTTCCAGGCACGCTCCCCTCATTCCTGTTCACCCGGGGCGCTCTGCGATCACTGGGCCCAGTCTGATGCTAGGACACAGGGAGCCCGTGCTAATCATGAGCCTTGCCACCCACACACCCCTGCTCCCAGCGGTGGCAACAAGCGAAAGCTGAGCACAGGGATCGCCCTGCTTGGAGAGCCTTCGGTCATCTTCCTGGATGAGCCATCCACTGGCATGGACCCCGTGGCCCGGCGCCTGCTCTGGGACACTGTGGCACGGGCCCGAGAGTCCGGCAAGGCCATCATCATCACCTCCCACAGGTAGAGCCGGGGTCTCGGGGTCAGTGGAAGAGCCGAGACGAGGGCTGGCCGGGTGGGGCCGGGTGGACAGAAGACCTGTCAGCAGCTGGCTCAGAGTCTGTGAGGAAAGTCACCAGCTAGCCATGTGGGCCACCCTCTGAACATGGGAATCAGGAACAGTGCGATCCGGCCGTCGACACCGGCCCCTCTGCCTGAGCCTTTGACACGGAAGGCAGGCGTCGGCATCCCCCGGCCCCGTGTCAGGCCTCTGCCCCTCTCCCCAGCATGGAGGAATGCGAGGCCTTGTGCACCCGGCTGGCCATCATGGTGCAGGGTCAGTTCAAGTGCCTGGGCAGCCCACAGCACCTCAAGAGCAAGTTTGGCAGTGGCTACTCCCTGCGGGCCAAGGTCCGGAGCGACGGGCAGCAGGGGGCGCTGGAGGAGTTCAAGGCGTTTGTGAACTTGACCTTCCCAGGTGAGGGCCTCTGCGCAGAGGGCATCTGTGCCTCACCCCTGCCGAGTCCCCCGTCCCTGACCCCTGGGAGGAGGGCCATGATTGCATGGTCCCCTGCCCTCCAGCCTGGCCCTCACGGGGACACGGGGTCTTCTTCATGCAGGCAGCGTCCTGGAAGATGAGCACCAAGGGATGGTCCATTACCACCTGCCCAGGGATGACCTCAGCTGGGCCAAGGTGAGTGTGGGCCCTGCCAGCCTAGCTGGGGCTGGGGAAGGCCCTTGCAGCTGTGACTCCTTCTGTGGGGCTTCTAGGCTCCTTCCATAGAGGAGTCTCTTATGGTTTCTGCTCTAGCACTCATCCTAAAATCTGCCAGGTTCAGAGGCTCATTTGAGTCAGAAAAAAATGGGTGCAAAAAAGGGAACTGGCCCAGAGAGCGTGCCCAAGTTTGCACCCCGAGCTGGGAAGATTCGGGGGAAGCCTGGCCCCAGGGCCTGCTTATCCTGCACAGCCCCCCTCCTCTGCCAGGGAGCAGGGGCTCTGGCTGGGTCAGGGTAGGACCTCTGGGAGCCTTAGCCCCCCCACCCCTTGGGGCCAGAGCACTCCCAGACCAGCCAAGGTGCCCCCGCTCCTGGGCTTGTTAACAGCCGCTTTTCTGCTCCCACAAGGTGTTTGGTGTTCTGGAGAAGGCCAAGGAGAAGTACGCCATGGACGACTACTCCGTGAGCCAGATCTCACTGGAGCAGGTCTTCCTGAGCTTCGCCCACCTGCAGCCACCTGCCGAGGACGAGGGGCCATGAGGAGCCCGCAGGCGTGGGGCAAGTGGCCGCACAGGCAGGCGTCCTCCCTCTCCGAGCTCATCTTATCCTGCACCTTTATTTCCAATCACCGTTTTCTATAATGGACGCGAGAATCAAGGCACAGTGGGGACCAGGATGTCAGAGCCCTCGCGCTGGGAATCAGCATGCGAACATCCATGTCCAAGGCAGTGGCCAGAGCCCCTCTCTGGAACTCGGGACCCAGCAAAAGCAGCCCCGCAGCCCGTGCGGGTGAGCCTTGGGGTCTCTGGGCAGAGAGCCCCTCAGGAAGGGGCTGCAGCCGACCTGGGGGTTGCATTTCCTCAAGTGCTCACGAGACGAGCACCAGTAACACCCCCACGTCTGCACACAGCATGGAGCCTCCCTGGGGCGACACGGGGAGCCAGCAGGACAGCGGGCAGCAGGGCTCGCCAGGCTGCCTGGAATGGAGAGAATGTCGCCTGTGGCCATCCACGAGGGAGGTGCTGGCTGTGACCACACTCTGTGATCTTGGCTTCCGGGGGCCTGGGAGTCGCTGCTCCATGGAGCGTGCTCTCGATGCCGGGTAGGGCTGACCCCGCGCCTGGCGCCATCACACAAGCGTCTCCCAGGGTCGGCAGGCTCGGGGAGAGAAGGCAGTCCTTAATGCCCGAGGCTGGCTTCTGGAGAAGCCACCAGCGGGAGGCCAGTTGGGGACCACTGCGGGACCAAGGGACCGTCTATGGAGGATGCACCTGACACGCGGTGACTCTATCCAGAAAATAAAGTCCAGGAGGGAACACGACCTCGGTCTGTATGGAGTGACTTCCAGTGCTCACTGCCAGGAGGTGAAGCAGCCAGGCTGGCAGGCGCCAGAGGGTTAGACAGACCCCTGGGAGGTCCGCCGTCCCCACCAGGAGGCACGAGCGCAGGGTCAGGGTGGGGGGTGCAGACCCCCGTGGGGCGGGAGGCCTTGGACACCAGGGCCACTCGGGGCTTTAGGCAGAAGATTCTTCTTCCGTATCAGCTTCCTTTTAATTTATATGCTCTTATTTCTGACAGTTTTCTTTTTAAGATTTTAAATTTATTTGAGAGATAGAGTGAGTGTGAGCACAGAGGGAGAAGGAGAAGCAGGCCTCCCACAGAGAAGGGAGACCCATGCGGGGCTCAATCCCAGGACCCTGGGACCATGACCTGAGCCGAAGGCAGACACTTAATGACTGAGCCACCCAGGCGCCCCATTTCTTAGTTTCCTAAATTTCCACGGTTTGAATCTCTTTCTGTATTCCTTTAGAATTCATAGTTTTAGAGACTTGTTGCATCACTTTGATCCTCTAGGACAATCTCGTGCATTTTTATCAACCTCCCCACGCTTAGGAACGCTGCAGTCTCCAGTAGCTTTCTCTTCCCCTTAGAATTCCTTACACCCTCATCCTTTAGTTCCATGTTATAAAACGTAAACTCGGGGTGGTTGTGGCCCTAAATGTGCCCCATGGGAAGCGGCTTCTGGGAGGCGGGCTTGGGCTGATGCAGGGTTGCTGGGGTTGGCTGGGCGGTTGGAGGAGGGGTAGAGCCAGTGGCCCTACTGCTCCATGGCCTGAGCTCGCTTTTTAGCCTATGTGTTACAGATTTAGAAATCTGGCTTTTTCTTTCCTTTGAGGGCGTGAGGAAAGGCATTCAAGACTGAAGGAACAGCATATGCGAGGCACACCCACCCTGAAATCAGATTGCACTGATCCAGAGAGAGGTGCTTCATGTGACAGGACAAGGAGGAGAGAGGGCTGTGGAGACGGGCAGGATGAAAGTGGCCGTGGTCCTGATCAGACCCTTCTTCAGAAGACCACCAGTGGCTGGAGAGAGGGCAGGGCAGGGCTGAGCTGCTGCAGTGGGGACCAGAGGGGCCGGTGTGCCGCACAGTCAGTGAGAGCCCGCAGGGCCCAGGGTGTCTGTGGGATGAGCGTGGAGCACTGCAGCCAGGCAGGAGGGACCCCAGGAGTCCTGCTGGAAGGGGCATCGCCAGATCATCTGCAAGGCTGCTGGACACCCAGCACAGGAGCTGAGAATCCTTGAGGAGCCAGGAGTGCGGCCTGAACCCTCTTCTCCCCGAGCCTAGCTGGTTTGGTTTGAGCTGAGACAGCTCCGGGCCCCAAGATGGGGAAGGAACCACAGACACCCCAACAGGAGAGCTGACCTGCTTCATCCCCCATCCCCAGCCCATCCCTCTCCTCCACGCCCTGGGGCCTTGGGGGCGGGGGGGATGGTGAGACACTCCCAAGGGGCCTGACACCCACGCGAGGGCTGAGGAGGTCTGTGGAAAATCTGGCCCCATCCAATGGTGTGGCTCAACCGAAACACAGTGGCCTGTCCCTAAGCATGACAGTGCCACTCAAAACATGGCCTGACAAGAGAGGAAGGGGCAGATCCTGCTGGGCCCACGCCTGGGCCTCAGGCCGAGCCCCTCCACTGCTCCCCCCTGGGGAAGAATGCCAGGCAGCAGTACACAGGTCCGCTGCCGCGGGTCCAGGGGACCCCACCCCCGACCACAGAAACAGCTCCTGTGGAGGGAAGGCTCCAGCCGGCTAACCGCACACACCAGAAGGCCCAGCCCCAGCAGTTTACAGACAGGCGTTTATTTCTCTGCCAAGTACAAAGTCCAGAGAAGGAGGATCTGGGCGTTGTGTCATCATCAAGGCCTCAGGGAGTCAGATTCCATCTGCCTGCTGTGTCCAGGTGGAGGCTCCCTCTCAAGGTCCTTTCCTGGGGTCAAGGTGTCCCTGAGGCTCCGGATGGAATGGCAGGAAGCAGGAGCAGGAGGGCCCAGCCCCTGGAAGTCGTGTGTGCGTCTCTGCATCATTGCCCAGCACACAGGCGGGGCTGCACCAGGCACAGGGAGCTGGGACACCAGCTAGGTACCCCAGATAAAAGCCAGGCTCCAGGACACAATCCCAGCCTCCACCACACTGCAGTGTGCAGACTGGCATCCTCGAGGGAGGCCCAACCAGGCATGCTCTTGTTGCCCGTCTGAGCTGCTCAGACCCCACCTTACTTAGGAAGCCCCACAGCCCAGCAGAAGTGGCCCACCTCCCCACCATGGAGTGTCCTGGCCCTTTGGTTGCAACGACACAGAAAGGCAAACTGGAGTTTTTTGCTGGGCAAATGCCAATCCCAGATATTCAGTCCAGGACCCCAGGGGGAGCTGAGGTCAGCTGCGTCTCAGGGACCCTCAGCCCAGTCTCAGGAAGCAGCTGACGGACTAAGGCTGATGGAGGAGTGAGCCAAGGCCAGCACCTGGAAGGAAGGCTGGAAGGCACTGGTCCGAGGGTGGCCACAAGCTGCCTGGGGATGACCATACCCCCAGGGTGAAGGACAACCTGGCCCAGCCCACCTGGCCTGGACCCACGTGAGCCCAATTCTTTGACCACATAGAGACAGCAATGTCCCAACCCCAGACATGATACCTGCAGGGCCAGAGCCTGGAGATGAGGGGCGAGGGTTCCCAGAGACCGGGGACCAGACGAGCAGGCAGGCTGACTGATTTGGCTGCTCCATCTACAGGATACCCCAGGCCAGCTGCTGTCCAGCTCCCCTCTGGGGACCAGCAGGATACTGATGGTGTAAGCCAGCCGCGTCCTCTGAGACCCCCACTCCCATGCAGACTCGTCAGTGTGAAGGGCGGGCCACCTGTGCTCAGCCAGACCCTGTGGCCACACCAAAAGGCCGAGCCTTACCTGCACACAGAGGGACTTCCCTGGGTAGACAGCCTGGGCTCCACTTGAGCCCAGAGGGGCGAACCCCACCCGCTCCTGCATCAAGGAGCTGGCCCACAGAGGTTCTAAGAGGTCCCCCCAAACACCAAGATCAGGATTAGGCTGCTCACCCCACCCCGCAGCTGAGGCCAGCAGGCTATGTGTGATACCCCACTCTGCAGACACGAGGCCCCTTCTCTGAACCCCGGCTCAGGTCCAACTCCAAACCCTGGAAGATTCAACTCCCTTTCCCAAAGGAGGGAGAGTCACTGGCATCCCTGCACAAGGGGGCTTAGGGCAGGTGGGCCGAGAGGCTACCCGCGAAGGGGCAACGAGGCAGAGAACTCGGTCCCCACAGCCCCTCAGGAGAGCACCAGAAAGCAGGGTGTTTGGCCCTGGAGTCCCTTCCCCACCCGACAGGCCCACATAGCCTGGGCCTCAAGCAGGCACGAGGAGAAGCTGAAGCTACAGGGTCAGGCCCGAGGAGCGGGGGCCCTGCCTTCCTTCCTCAACACACAGGGCTGCCCAGGCCCCGCTCCTGGGGCCCGGCCTATACCCCACAGATGCTGGTGTCAGATGCCTCCAAGACTGGAGAAGCTCCAAGTTAACTGGCTGTGGATGGCACAACATAGGCCCTGGGAGCAGGGCCACGGGCCAAGACGCCTTGGTCGCAGTCAACGCTCCACATGGCCCTCAGCGCACCCAGGGCTGCAGCACACCAGCTTCACTGCTCTGTATCCAGCTCTGGCTGGACCCCACCCTGCCCCCTGTGGGCCCCCCCCAGCTCTAGTGTCACTATCCTTGACTTCCCTGGGGCAGAAATGAACACAGGGCTTTGGGCATGAAAACCAGCACAAGCCCCCAAGCTCACTGCTCAGCAGCCCCTAGGAGAGTCCACAGTTGCCTGCTGGCAGGAGGAGTGGGGGGAGGTCTCAGGACCGGACACCCCACACCTTGGAGACCCCAAGCCTGGAGCTGGAGAGGCCTCCCCACAACTCCAGATCCTCACTGGTGGTCTGGCCCTTTAAGACCCAGCCTGGGGGCGCCTGGGTGGCACAGTCAGTTAGGGGAGTTAAGCGTCTTCGTTAAGCCTCTGCCTTCGGCTCAGGTCATGATCCCAGGGTCCTGGATCGAGCCCCGAATCAGGCTCCCTGCTCTGCGGGAAGCCTGCTTCTCCCCGTTTGCTGTTCCCTCTGCTTGTGCTCTCTCTCTCACTGTGTCTCTTTCTGTCAAAGTAAGTAAATAAAATCTTTTAATAAAAAAAAAGACCCAGCCTGGCCACCCAGAAGGACCAGCCAGAGCCTCTTCCTGGGCTCCTTCAGGGGCTACAGGCACTCAGGAGCCCAGGCCTGTAGGACCCAGGCCTTGGCAATCCAGCTCCTCTTCTAATGTCTCCCTCAAGGTCACCAAGCCATCACCAGCTCCCTGACCCCACCCAAACCCCTCTGTTGCACCTGGCCAGGCCACCCCTGCCCTTAGCGTAGGGACTATTAGCGATAGGTAGTAGTGCTTTCTTGACATGGTTTACAAGGGAATGCGATGTGTACTTGAAGCTCCTGGATGGCCCACCGTGACCTCCAGCACAATCCAGGCTACCACTAAACCATGTCCCAGGTCACCAGCCTCCAAGGACAGGCACTGCAGAGGCCATCAGGCCCACAGAGAATGAAGGCAGAGGGAACACTCTGATTCCAAAGGGAGAGCAGCCCCACATGCCAACAGGTTGCCCTCGACCCCGGGAAGGAAGGGAGGGGCTCAGGACACTGGGAGAACCAGGCATGGGGCTGGCTGCCAGTCGCCCCGTCTGCAGGAGCCCTGCCCCACCCCCACCATCAAACCGGGACCAAAGACCTTCAAAGGTCCACGGAGGACCCAGCATCCCAGCCCTCAGCCCCCAGAGCCTTAGTCGGTTGGCACAGGGGTGTAAGAAGGGGAAACCAGAACTCCTGGAAGGCGGGGTCGGGGGCCTCCAGTTTTAATTTCTTACGTTTCTTCTGAACACATTCTGTTGATCTTCAAAATGGCAAAAAGACAAGATGCTCAAATTTTAAAGCTCAACAGCTGATAACACACTTGATAACAAAAATCTGTAATATTTAGAAACAAATGCGATTAAATTTATGTGTCTGATTAAATCATGCTTTAGATTTAATATAAAACTTGTTAAAATTTATATGCGTGCCAAGTTATATCACTTTAGCACATTTTTTAAAAGCACAGGCGGTTGTCAGCCCAGCTGCTTGTGTCCCTACCCCCTCTCGCCATGGTGGAGTCACTGGCCTGCTCCCTCCCCACCCCAGGGTGTTGGTGCCGCCCTGGGCAAAGGCTCTGCTGAGTCAAGGCCCTTCAAGCATGCAGAGAGCAATGACTTGCCGACAGAGTCTGCAGCACCGTCCAGCCCTCCCTGGGTACTAGCTGCAACCTGGACTCTGCTGTCCTTGCCTGGCAGCTAATCCATCTCCAAGTCACCGGGGTTCCTTCCTCCAAAAGAGATCCGCTCGCCATCTGTTGTCTTCTCTTCCTTGATGCACCTACCTGTTCAGACCACGTCTGCGGCAGGGTGCACCCTCTTTCCTCCCACTGAGTCATGGAGTAATGACCGCTTGCCAGACACGGGCCGGGAACGCCGGAGGCACCTCGGTGAACAAAATCCGAAAGCTCTGGCCCGCTGGGCACCGGGATTTACTCTTTCCAGCCTCCTGCCTGGGTTCGAGGCCACTACTGTGGCAGAAGAGTCAGCCTCCCTGCCTGCACTGTCCACCGGCCAGAGGGGTGACGGCTCGGCGCGGGATGCTGCACATGCTCCATGTCGCCCCAGCACCGCTGAACCCCACATTCCTAGCCCCGGCCTGCGAGCCGCCACCCCGGCCTCCCCCCGCTTCCTCCGACGAGCCTCCGCGCCGCTGCACCTGCTAGTCCCTCTGCCGAGCGCCCGCTCTTACTCCGGTCCCAGCTGCAGCGTCACCTCCTCGGAGGCGCTTCCCGCTTCGCATCTTGTCTTCTACCCTGCCTTTCGCTCCCAGTTGGCGATGGCCGCACTGGCCCCTATCTAGGCTGGGGACCCTGCCGAGCCCCGCAGGCGCAGAAGCGGGGTCTGCACCATCACTATGCACGCCTCGTGTCGTTTTTAATCTCACCAGCCAGTCCCTGCACCTGCCCGGCCCCCTGCGCCCTGCGGGCCCCACGGTCTGCCGCCCCCACGGTCTGCAGCCAGAGGCCGCCGCGCCCGCACTGCCCGCACTGCCCGCACTGCCCGCACTGCCCGCCGCCCCACAAGCGCAGCAGCGTGGCTCCGAGGCTGCGAGCCCAGTGCGCACGCGCAATGGGCGGGACGGGGCCGCGGCTGCGTTAACTCCCTCCGCGCGGGCCCAGGAGCTACCCGCGCGGCGCGGCCCCCAGCCAACAATCTACCGGCCTCATGTGGGACGCACCCAGCCCCGGGTAGCCCCAGATACCTCCCCAGGGAGGGAAATAGAAGAAGAGTCCCCGACGCGGCTAACCAGAAACAGCCGTGGCCCTTTAACACTCCCCTCGCTCGCTCCCATTGGCTGAGGCGCCTTACGTCATCGCTGCGCGCCCGACAGCGGCGCCTTCCCGCTCCCTAATCCTGACGCCAGAGCGGCGCCGGCTTTAGCGGCTGAGGAGAGCGGGAGGAGGTTGCGGCGGCGGGAAGATGTAAGTTGGGGGAATCCGACCCCATCCGAGCTTCGGGGGCCGCCCGCAAAGCTCGGCGGGGCGCGTGGTTGGAGCCGGCCCGCCGCTCGGCCTCTCGGTAGGCACGGCAGCCTGGCGGCGCGGCAGCGGGTGTGAGAAGAAAGAGTGTGGCTCGGGGCGGGCGGAGTGGGAGGCGCCGAGGCCGCGGCCCGGAAGTGGTCGGGGCCGTGGCGGGCGGAAGGGCGCCTCAGATCGTCCCCCCTTTGCGGCGCGCCCGGCTAGGCCCGCGGGACTCGGAGCAGTCGGGAGCGCGGCTTCCGCCTTCGGGGCTCTGCCGTCGGCGTGGAGACCCAGGCCCGCCACGCCAGGCCCTGCCCTGGAAGCGCTCGCGGCCCGGCGCCTGGACTGGGGAGTTGTGAGTGAACGCGGACGGGGAGGGACGGCGGGGGCGGAGATGCTTTGTGGGGTACCCTGCAGGACCGGCGGGCCCTCCCCTCGGGGCCACTAGCTGAGTGGGCCGTGCCCTGGTCGGTGCGAGCCCCTTGGGGACGCGGCCCCCGCTGTCCCGCAGCGCGGCCGCACGGGCTGCCCCAGAAGGGAGGATACGGGAGAGCAAAGTCGTGGCCTTTTCCTCTTAATTTCGCATGATTTGTGCCGAAAATGCACTTTTCAGTGGGGAAGGTGCTCTGAAGATGGGAGCCGAAACGCCATCTGCTCGAGGTTTAACTAACTGTTCTTTCTCTCTCTGGCTGTTGGACGCGCACCTTTCCGGAGGATGGGGGAGGTAACCGAGGTCCTGTGCTGTGACCCCCAACTTGTGTGAACAGAGAGCCTCAGTCTCTGCTGTCTAGCACTCGGCCACGCCCGGCAAAGTCCGCTCGCCCTGTGGTTCTTGATGTGTAGAGCTTGAGAATCCCGGTGGTGCTCGTTGTCGCGGGGTACCTTGGGGCAGACCTTTGGGACTGGGGTGGGGCCCGGGAGTGTGCCCTGCAGGTCCGTGCTGCTCAGGCAGGCACCCCGGGGCCACACCGAGGGGTTTGACGGGCTTAGTGCGGGGCGGGGGAGTGTTTTATGAATGAGTTTTTACACCAGTTGAACGTGGAAAAGATGATATTTGGGGCGTGGGCTCTCAGATGCTTTACTGAACGTCAGTTTCATCTGTTAACCTCTTTTTGCTTGGTGGCTACTGGAACATTTTAGGATGTGCTTGTAGCTCACACTCTGTTTCCGTTGGACAGTGCTGCGCTTGGTGATCCCCTAATGGGGTGGCCCAGGGACCCCTGTTGAGCATTCAAGAGGTCATGTGAGACTTTGGGACACCAGAGTTTATGTGGGGGGAAAGTCTCCAAACACGGAGAAACATCCCTTTCTTCTAACATAAGCCAACCTTTACTGAGCCTTAACTAGGTGCCAAGTTTGGTTAACTATGGAGGTGTAGGAGCTATAATTGTCACTGTAATGCTCATGTGAAGCAGAGGCTCAGAAAGGGTATGTGACTTATCCAAGGTCACACAGCAAAGCTTCGAATCAAACAGGCAGGCTGAGTCCACAGATTCTTACCCACTGAACTATAATTCCTGATTGGTGGCCACTGACCGTGTCTATCCAGTGTTGTTTGCTCAGTACCTGTAGTACCTTATTGTTTTAAGGCAAAACATCTTAAACGATTTTACCAGCCTGGAGAAGAGCAGCAGAAGTGACAGACGTTCTGCTTTCTTCTGCTCTAATTTGATTGTCCAAAGCTGGCCTTCCTTCTTGAGTCACGACATTTATTCAGCATTTTGGGCAGCCCTACACGTGTGAAATCAGGATACCAAGTGGTTGCCTTGTCCTGGTTACTCAGAGGCTGTTGAGGAAGATGAGTTAGAAGTAGGTGACACCAACATCCTGAGATCTTTGCCTGCATCTCAAGCAAATTGTAGAAAACGTCCCTGGAAATACTGAAGGTCGAAGATCCCCCAGGAGACAAGTCACATAATGGATCGGTAGTTTGTTCCAAGTCATATTTACTGAGCACATGCTGCAGTGCGGGCACTTTGTTAGACCCTTATGATCAGTGTCCTCCAATTCCAGTGCCTCCCCCCACATACACACACACTTTATTTTGGGGGGAAAATGTAAACATACAGAAAGGTTGAAAGAATTGCCCAGTGAATACCTGCATAACCACCATCTAGATCCTACAAGTCACATTTCTGCCATATTTGCTTTATCATATACCAAACCACTCATCAACATTTTCTGTTGCATTTTGAAGTAAATAGCAGACTTTGGGGTACTTTCCCATAACACTTTCATTTGTATTTCATTAACTAAAGGTCAGCATTTGCAAGGACTGCTTTCTAATTTAACTATCTTACTGCTTTTTCAATGTTCACATGGGACATTTTATGTGTTTGCATTTGGGTTATGTTTTGATGCTGGTACCTGTCACTTTTGAAATGATTTTTGCTTCCAGTCATCATATATCCAATGTGTCCTACAAGGAAATTGCAACAGTAAAACAAGATCTAATCACACCAATAATCCTATCAGAAGAGCCACACTTGGCTTTTTTTCTGTTCTGCGTGCAAATGTGGTGGTATAGTATTTCTAAGGGGATGGTAGAGGGCTTATCATCAAACTAAGGAGTGAAACACAGGTACTGTACCAACTGTAAAATAACAGTGACAGGCACCACCACCGTTTCCTTATGGAAAAGACGACAAGGTGAGGTGAGGGTCTGCCTGTGGGGCGGGACTGTCCCTGAGGAAATGGAAGAGGTCCCTGGATGTTCCTGGCTTTGTGGGCGCTCGCTGCTTACTGTGTTCCTTGCCACCACCTCGTGTGCTCACCTTTTGACTGCAAAGTAGATTTGTTGCCTTGCCAACTCGTTCACTCTGTAAATCCTTTTATCTTGTTATTAGGCTGCACTTTGGCGTAAATTGCAATCGATTAGGGATCGTTTCTCAGACTCGAGTTAGAAGTGAGAGTTCAGATAAGTGAGGCCACCATTGCTGCTTTGAACACCTCAGAAGGGGAGAATGGATTTATCAGGAGTGAAAAAGAAGAGCTTGCTAGGAGTCAAAGAAAATAATAAAAAGTCCAGCACTAGGTAATCCTTCTGTCAGATTTTTCTAGTGCTACTTTGGGGGTGCTCGTTACTAGGGACCCTCAGAAAGGGGAAGATTGGAAATGTCTTACATATTACAGTGACGTGTCCTAAGCCACAGATCGTTTTGCTCTGGGATCGCCTGGGATCTCATGTAGCCCTTTGGATCCCCTCTTTTGGGTAGTGTTGTTTCCGGGTTTGGTTAGAGGGGCATGCGATCTCACAGTCTTCCTCACCATCCAGGGCTCCTTCTCCTACCAAACGTAAAGACCGCTCTGATGAGAAGTCCAAGGATCGTTCTAAAGATAAAGGGGCCACCAAGGAGTCAAGTGAGAAGGACCGTGGCAGGGATAAAACTCGGAAGAGGCGCAGTGCTTCCAGTGGTAGCAGCAGCACCAGGTAGGACTCCGCCGGGCAGAGCATGGAGCCAGCCTCTCTTCTGTGGCCACGCCCCTTTCCCTTCGGGGAAGAGCCCACAGAGTCCTCATTATTTACACACAAAACACTTTGAGCTCGTTAATCAAGGCCCTAATTATGGCAGACTGGTTTGGGTCTGCTCTGGTTATATATGAAGGATGGCCTTTGGGTGTTTTCTAGAGATGTTAACGAATGGGACATCTTGGGGTATGTGTTTCTTTCAGGTGCTTTTTTCTTCAGAGTCATGATTGGGTTGCCCTAGCCTAAAGCTTATTTTTTCTCCAGTTGAAACCAGCCTGAGTCCCTCGGTAGCCACCTTCCAGGCTGGGTTGGTGCTTCCGACTTGCTAGACTCTATCTGTACCTCCCAGTAGGCGAGGCTTGTGTATAGCTAGGAAGTGCGCCCTTGCTTCCCTGTGGCTGCACAGTGTGGATGCTGTTTTCTGTCCCCACCTAGGGCTTTGGCCAGGCAGGGGTGGGCTAAATACCATCCCCACTCCCTGAGGCAGGGAGACATGGAGGCTTGAAAACAGGAGGACAGTGGTTTCCTCTTGGGAGCATGAGCACGTGGAGGCTCATCTGTTCGGAAGAAATGCTCCCACCCGCTGTTGCCCATGACATCTCTGTCTCATTTATCAGGTCCCGGTCCAGCTCTACCTCCAGCTCGGGCTCCAGCACCAGCACGGGCTCCAGCAGCGGCTCAAGCTCTTCTTCAGCGTCGAGCCGCTCGGGAAGCTCTAGCACATCCCGCAGTTCCAGCTCCAGCAGCTCCTCTGGCTCGCCGAGTCCTTCTAGGCGCAGGCATGATAACAGGAGGCGCTCCCGCTCCAAGTAAGGTCCCTTCCAGCACCGCTTCTCTGCTCGGGAGTGCCCCTAAAACTTGTGGGTTATCTGGGAACTTAAGTTTACAAACTGGGGTCTGTAAAGTTACGGTACTTAGTATAGAAGTAGACCTAAAAAGGAGTTTTTCTATTTTAGTAGGATTTCTGAAGCAGAGATAATATGAATATACATGAACTGGTAGGGAAAGCTTCCCTATAAAAAACTGTCATCATGGCAGTTAGCAGCCCCACTAAAAGAAATTTTGACTTGACAGAAATTGTTTCTGGTGTTTTATTTTTTCAATCAGATCCAAACCACCCAAAAGAGATGAAAAGGAAAGGAAAAGGCGGAGTCCTTCCCCTAAGCCCACCAAAGTCCACATTGGGAGGCTCACCAGGAATGTGACCAAGGTGAGGGATCCTGGATCCATCCAATGGACAGTAGGGTGTGTCTCTTCTGCATATATCTTAAATGGAAAACTAGAGAAGCAGTTCTCAGAACTGAGAACATAGGCTCTCAGAGGACTGGCAAGATGGTGCGTCGAGTGGGGTTATTCTGTGTGAGAGACTTAACCCAGGTGCCGAGGCATAGTCGTTGTGTGGTGACTTCTCCGCTCCCACACGGGTAATTGGGTATGCATCAGTGACCGTTCTTTCCTCTAGGACCACATCATGGAAATATTCTCCACTTATGGGAAAATTAAAATGATTGACATGCCTGTAGAAAGGATGCACCCCCATCTGTCTAAAGGCTATGCATACGTGGAGTTTGAGAACCCAGATGAAGCCGAGAAGGCACTGAAGCACATGGATGGAGGTGGGTGACCCTGCCAGCCCTGCACTGAGCTCCCTTCTTTGTTCCCTGTGCAAGACCAGCTACCTGCCACATGTAGGGACCTTAGAACTGATTTCCAATCTGGCTGCACATCACAATCCCCCTGGAGCTCTCTCGGGGTTCCGGTTCTTAACCAGGGGGTGGGGTGTGTGTTTACTGAACACAAGTTTTATGGGACATTATTCTTGGGAAAAGATCAGTAAATATGAATACATTAGCATTTTTAGAATTTTCCAATTTGAAAGCTTAAGGATTAAACGAAGGGATTTTTTTTTTTTAATAAAGACTACATTAGGAGTATGAATAATGAAGTATTTGGCTTTTATATGGGAGTGTTTCCTTTAATGATCTCTGAGAGTCATTTTTTGTTGTGCTAACATTTCAGCATTTTTAGCATTTTAGCATTTCAACTTTGCTGAATTCACACATTTTACCCATTTTCCTAAAATTTGTGTCTTAACTGTGACATTTATAGCTGTTCTGTATGGAGCAGAATGGTTTTAACAACAGTTGAACACTTGGGAATAGTTTTGGATGGCCAGTTTTCATTTCGTCTTCGAGTCAGTGTTTTAAGGAGCTTGGAATTTGTCTCTGCCCCAGCTCGATGCTGCTGTAATCTAGACAGCCAGGGCCAAGAACCAGGACTGCCCGTAGCACACTGTGGGCTGCCAGGCCACCTAGGGAGGAGAGTCTGAACACCCCAGAACCTTGGAGGCCCTGTTATACATACACAAAAAAAACAGTACAGTAGTTTGATGGGTAGTTGCCCTTGAGCCCTGGTAGAGCTTGGATACTAGGAAATTTTCCTTACCACCAAGCCCTCTTTCAGTCTACTTAAATTGTGGCCCATCGAGCTATACATAGCAGCTCTTGATCTTATGAATCACACCTTCATTTTAGAGATCCTCAGTCATGCATCCTTGAGAGTTTGAGCACTTGCTAAAAATCCAAGGACACTTGGCCATATCCAGGGTGTGTCCCCCATGTTTTAAGATTCTGGTAGGACTTCAGTGTGTGTCCGCATATTGTGCTGCGCACCATGCATGGGGGAGCTGGCCAGAAGATTTGTCCTCGTTGCTGTATGGTCAGTGCCTGTGAAAATTCCTAATTTGGGCTGGCTTTGGCAGTGGGCCAGGGCGGGACCTTAGGCTGCATTTAGTTAAGTCTTTTGAGTATGCTCTGAACACAGGTCTGTATGCCCTAGTTATTCCCTCAGTAGCTTTGCTATTTCCTTGAGGGTAGAAATTGAGAAGATAAAAGAACCCTCCACCCTTCCGGGGCATACAGGGGCTGTGCTTGGTCCCCTGTGCAGTCCCTGGACTGGGGTCAGGGTGTGTGCTCCCCTGGAGTTCCTAGGTCGATGCCTTGCCTTTCTTTGCTTTTTTTGAGGCCCTAAAGATTCCTCAGGCCTCCACCCTTCACTATTCTTATTCAGTTGCATTCACATGCCTGGTTTTTTGGCCTGAGGCACTGTTTCCAAACTCTTCAGACAGACTTGACTGCTCAACTTTATTTTGTTCCCTTTCCCCCAAGTCTTTTCTTCCTCCTGAACTATGATGCAATCATAGATCATCCGGAAATGTGGGTGCTGATCATCTCTCCCACCTCCACCACCGCCAAGCTCTAGTGGCTTGGTCCAGTTATAATGGACACTGCCCTCATGGGGACCCAGCACCCTGAGGCTACCTTCTGGCCACCTGGGAGGTATTGGGTGGTGTGTGCCTTTTACAGCAGGAGAGAAGACTGGGCTACCTGGTTGGAGGCCACCTGTTCAAGGGCGGTCCCTCTTTAGTTCTTACACTTTACCCCCATCTCAGTCCTGCGGAGCCCCCAAAATGTCCCCACTCCTTTTGCTTGCCTCCTCCCACTGTTCTAGAGGAGGAAATTCAGGCTCAGGGCACAAACCTTCCCCTCATTGAGTGGATTCAGGTGTCGCTTCCTCTTGGAGGTGGTTGTGCATCAGGTGCCCCCGTGCATCAAGATTGAGTTCCCCATGAGGTTCCGTGCTCCCCTACAGATTTCCTGATAAAACTACCAGTAGTAGTAGCTGTGTCAGTATTTCTGTGACAAGCTTAGTTCCCCTGTCCTTGCTTACCAGCCTAGGTCGTGGGGGCTTGTCAGATATTTTGGGACTTGATCCTTTTTTCAACAGGACAAATTGACGGCCAGGAGATCACTGCCACCGCTGTGCTGGCCCCCTGGCCTCGGCCGCCCCCCAGGCGATTCAGCCCTCCGAGGAGGATGCTGCCACCACCTCCCATGTGGCGTCGGTCGCCCCCACGAATGAGAAGAAGGTAGGGCGATTTGGAGTCTTAGAGGGGACTGCTTGGGGCCAGTGTGGATTTGTTTCATTTACAGACACAGTGCCACGGTGATGACTTTGGAACCTTATTCAGCCCTGCCCACCCGCATGCTGCATGGGGATCAGGGTGGCTGCTGCTGGAGGGAGGGGCGGGCAGAAGATGCAGCCCTCCAGGTTGCACCAGGGTTCCCTGGAGTGCAGTCCCTTTCCCCTTCCTAGCTAAGAAGACAGGAAGGGTAGGGTGTGTGGCTGGCTCAGTGGGAGGAGCGTGGGACTCTTGATTTCAGGGTTGTGGGTTCAAGCCCCACCTTGGGTATAGAGATTACTTAAATATTAAAACACACACACACACACACACACACACGAAGGGTCAGGAGAGGTGAGT